ACACATCGAGGGACTATTCAGCAAATGTGTTTCCATTGTAGTTTATGCGCATGTCTTCTTATCAGATCCAGCTTTTTTTCTTTTCTTTTTTTTAAATGCGATAATCTAAAATTCGCATAAAAATAGGTGGATGGAAACAAAGCTACTGATAATCTTCCCCTCCAGTAAGACATTAACTGCTGCAACCAGATCATTAAGTTGTGAGTTTTTAAATTCGAGAATGAATCATTTAGACCAGCAAAAAAGAATGATTTGTTCAAGAATTGGACATTGTGACAGATCAAGGACAGCTAGGACTTAAATAACTGTCTGTTTCTCACACAAAGCTATCATGTGGCTATGATTCAGAAACAAATCATACTACTTTACAGGGTTTTTGCTTCTTTTTTGAAGCTTCAAATTTTCTTCATACATATTCCACAGAAGAAAGAAAAACATTGGGGTTTGGAACAACACCAGGGTGAGTAAATAATACATTTTTTAATTTAGGTTGAAATGTTCCTTTAAACAATTTGAAACAGTGGACTCACTTGTATGTACAGGTTAACTTCTGCGCTTCTGCACAGATAGGGGAAGTTTCCGCCGGTTTTGAGATGAGCTCTTCTAGCATTTGGGTACAGCTTATACATCTCTTCCTTTGCCTCATGTGATAGGGCGCTCTGATCGAAAACCTAAGAGAAAAGGTGGTCAAAATAATTTAAACTGTTTTTAACAGTTCACGCATTTTTTTCTTTTTTTCTAGCCTATTTATAAAAAAGACCTACATCCATTATGGTGACAGCAACATCCTTTATCTTGTGAGGTTCCACGTAGGAATTTTGGCAATTCAGCGTGAGTCGAGAAGCCAGTTCACTCTGGTTCAGGCTTTCCAGCTGAAGCACAAATAAACAAAGCACGCTTTGTTGATAAATGAGCAAAGAGTGAGACAAATTTACCTTCACACGTTCACAGAAGTTCACACATCAGTATAAGATCTATTACTAACTACATCAATCCAGCTCATGTACAAGCGCTAGATTTGGCTTGATTTATGTGTTTTTACTACCCAATAAAATATTTCAGTACAATGAATGTTAGCACATTTACACGTTTAAAGGGTTAGTTCACCCAAAAATGAAAATTCTGTCAGTAATTACTCACCTTCATGTTGTTCCAACCCCGTAAGTCTTTCGTTCATCTTCGGAACACAAATTAAGATATTTTTTATTAAATCTGAGAGCTGTCTCACTCCTCCATAGGCTTCTTAAGGGATCGAAAGTGGCCGGCCCAAAAGTTATGAAAGACATCGTTAAAATAGTCCAAGTGACTACAGGCTCAACCTTAAGTTTATCAAGTGACGAGAATACTTTTTGTGCGCAAAAAACAAACAAAAATAATGACTTTATTCAACTAATCATTTCCTTCTCTGTACGGCCGTGATATTTCACGTAGTGAAACTACGCAAAGCTTCTAGGTTGGACGTCACGCATCACACACATGACCAGCGTCGGCCAATAGTGAGCCTACGTGTGACGTGCAACCTAGAAGCTTTGTGCAATATCACTACATGAAATATCACGGCCGTACAGAGAGGGAAATGATTAGTTGAATAAAGTCATTATTTTTGCGCACAAAAAGTATTCTCGTCACTTGATAAACTTAAGGTTGAGACACTGTAGTCACTTGGACTATTTTAATGATGTCTTTCATAACTTTTGGGCCGCACAGTTTCGATCCCTTAAGAAGCCTATGGAGGAGTGATCCAGCTCTCAGATTTATTAAAAAATATCTTAATTTGTGTTCCAAAGATGAACGAAAGTCTTACGGGGTTGGAACAACATGAAGGTGAGTAATTACTGACAGAATTTTCATTTTTGGGTGAACTAACCCTTTAACAAAATCCGGGTAGTTTTTCATGGTAAATGTCCATATGGCAAAAATTTGACATGGATATTTTTCTGTGGCTGTTTTTTTTAATCGAGGTGGGTCAAAAGTTGTAGAATCACACATAGTTACACTAATAAATTATGTCATCAAAACTTCCAAAACAGTCAGTATGGTAGAAGTACTTACTCGGTCCACCATAAAGTCAATTGCATCTGCCATTTTTGGGTCCACAGGTCCTTTGGCAAAGTTACCAAGCACAATCTTTTTGAGCATGAATGCAGGCATCAACCAGAAACTAGAAAAGAAAGAGAATGAGGAAAAAGTCCACAAGGATGGAGACATTACTACTGGAAAAGTTATCAGTATTCCGTAAGTCTTTACCTGTTTGCTGCCCATGTCTGGTTGAAGATCGATGTGTCACTAAATGAGTTGCACAGGACTAGAGAGTGAACTCTGGGAGATTTATGTGTGACTTCAGCAAATTTCTGAGCCAGGAATCCACCCAGAGAGGCACCGAACAAGTGCACCTGCACAGAGACAGAAAAACAGGTTGTGAAAGAGACGTGTGATTTCCCATCTTGCATGCATAAAATAATCAATTTCCCATACCTTGTCAAGTTGTAAGTGGTCTAAAAGCTTCCTAAATCCATCACAAAATTCCAGCAGATCCCAATAGACAGGATACTGGAGCTGTGTAAAGCAATATCACGTTACATAAGAAAGCAAGCAATAATGTCAGAAGAGCAGCACAAGTTACATAAATGACCATGTTTGAAATGGCAAGCAACCGAATAAACCCTATTAATTAACAAATATCTTTTATAGCAGCCAGGTCTATCTCTAGTTGATGTCTGAGAGAGCATACTGAAATGACGCGGTAGCCCCATCCGGAGAGAGCCAGAACCTGCTGGAAGAAAACCTCTGCGGTGCCGCTCACGGGTGGGAGGAAGATGATGGGACATCTGATATTTTTCGGCCCAGCATCATACAACGACCAGACTTTACTGTCATCATCATCCACAATTATCTAAAGACACAAAGGCAGAAATTCTCACAAATTAGCTACATTAGTATCATATGACACAGAAGGGAAAAAAAAACATAATTTACATTTGGTACAGCTGTTCTATGACTTTTTTCTCTCGTTTTAATTCTACTTTCTTGAATGAAAATTTGAAATTACAAATGACAGTTAGCATCCTGTTTTCTGCCTTAATTCAAATTAAAAAGATGAGATGGATAGATAGACTTACTCTTTTCAGAGGTACAGTGCTTCTGAACCAGTTATAATCAGGAGATACTCTTATCTCCTCCATTGCTGAAATGCAAATTAAATGTTTGATTAAATAAGTCCAAGCCTCTCAGAATAACTGACATGATCAACACAATGCTTGTAATTTAGATGAAAAGAAGAGGTATTCAGTGAAATTTCATTTCATGTAAAAAAAAAAATCAATCTTTATTGACTTTACACCCCTTTCATGTATTTCACCATAGAAACCATGTGACTAGAGTACAAAATGGTCTAGTGAGTTAATGCGACAACTGAACATACATACACAATTCCCGCAATTATAACACTATATAAAAATGATGGTATCTCTAAAATAATTATTAAAACCGTCATAAGAGTGTTTAAGATGTTCAAAAATACAACATATGCCCCTACTAAACTATTGTTTGTGTACGTTTCACAGCGACGTAAATCAGGAGACCATTTCGAGCAATAGCTGAGAAAATGTTACCGTGACGATTCATGAAATAAATCACCTTTTAATGCCTTTCATCCACAGGTTTGAAAAAACATTGTATCCTTTCGCTACATCACATGACAGCAGCTTCCGCAGCCAGAAGCAAGCGATTGACTGCACACGATCCACCAGCCAATCAGCGACTGCTAACTGCGCGCATGCGCATTGGAGAGCGCTATTAAAGGGATAGTTCACCCAAAAATAACAGAAAAAAATCTCATCTTTGATTCACTCTCATGTTGTTTAAAAAAAAATGTATCTGGTAATATTTAAATGCTATGTAGATTGAAAAGTTTAATTTATTTTGAGTAATTGTGTTCATCTTGAATAAACCCAAATAGCAAGTGTGCAATCACACGTACACGTTTGTACTTTTCTCTGTACATTCTGTACAGTTACAGGACAGTTATTTATTTCTGTGGTGGGGAGTGTGTATTAGACCGGTGCGCAGTGTCGTAATTCAGTGTATTCGATTTCGATTGATTTATCGATTCATTTGATTCACTGGTGACGCAATTTATACATTTGCTGCGTCCCAATTCGCCTACTTATACTACGCCCTAAAAGTATGTACTCTTTTTGTGAAGAAAAAGTACATACTTTTGAGTGTGTAGCAAAAGAGTAGGCAATCTTTGGGACATACTACTTCGTCATCTTTAACGGACAGATCTGTCGCTGCCCTGTCAATCATCTCGTCACAGTTAAAATCCTCCATTCAATCTAATATAACTTCTTACCATTTCGGAGAAAATTGTTGTCGCACGTTCATCTGCCAGTCATGGGTCTTTCATGCGGAGACTCCCCTCATGTGTTTGGAATTTGAATATAATAATGCATTTAAAAGTTAATGGCTAAACGTATCTTTGCAAAAGTTCACAATGCTGCTGCAGATGCAATATAATGTGGACAACATTGAATAAATACATTTTCGTCAGGTTAGATACTGATAATTAATCACTCAAACCCCTTTATCTAAACCTCTCTACACAACCGCCGGACTCGTGCGTCCTCCATGTCTGTAGTTTTTGAACACTTTTCATTCGTGTTTGTAGTTCTAACCGAATCCTCGTCCAACGCGCGATGGGTTGTGGGCAATATCAGCCGTTAGAGTGCGCATCGATCTGCACTTCGGATTCTGACCGGATATAGTAGACCATCCGGGTCTCTTTGGGACACTCATTTCAACATACTACGATTTGGGACGTACTAATTCTATTTTCGAATACTATTTAGGACGGATAGTATGCGAATTGGGACGCAGCAATTGACTAAGCATAAGCGATTCACTGACCCGGTTGTTTGAATCTTCGCATATGGATTCACTCATGATTCACTCATGGATTCACTGACACAAATGATTCTCTATCAGAATGATTCAGTGATTCAAAAGTGTCATCAGTTGTTTACTTGTCTCACAGTGACTAGTTCCGACAGCAGTGTGTGTTTAGTTCAGCTGCATATAGCAGCTTCCAAAATAACGCATTTCGTATATTAATATGTTTGATTAATTTTTATTTAATTCACATATTCTGTTTAAGTCATTTATTATTGTTGGGCCTATATTGAATGGCTTTCAGTGGGTTAGCTCTCAGCTAGCGCTAACCTCCCCAGCGCTCCTCAAAATCAACCGATTCAGTTCGTCAAAAAACAAAACAATTCTGAAACATGTCGTGTACGTGTGCTTTAGCAGCGAGAAAACTCATAAATTCTGCTCATAAAGGTAAGAAGAAAGTCGTATTTTGAGAAATATTGATGTTTGTTTGTTTCTTAGCCTAGTTAGTTTTACTAGCGCTGCTGCTGCTGGTGCGCTAACAATATATATATATATATATATATATATATATATATATATATATATATATATATATATATTAACAAACAAACCACAAATGATGTTCAATGATTCACAAACATTTACATCCACCCTCATATAGAAAATTAGATTTAAATCCTTCATAAAGTAAAACAAAAAAACATTAGACAGTTGTTGACAAGTGCATCTATTGCTGTAACGTTAGCCTACATAATGAGAATTGCCTATAACCAGATTGTTTATTAAAATGTTCACCTACTATAGTGATTTAATTTAGGAATTGTTATGATGTTTAAGGTGTCATTATTTATTTGGCTGTTAGTTTTGCCTGGTTGTTGTTTTAAATCGATTTCTAGATTCATAAAATGAAAAATTAATAGTGTTCTTTGTCAAGACTCCTATAGTCTGATAAGAACCATTATTTTAATGGTTGGATATTTGATTTCTGTTCTAGTAAAGTGTACATTTTGTTGCCAATGTCCTGTAGAGGCACTCTAAACAACATGATAATGATTTCGTAACTGGCATCATGTAATTGTTATTTTGAGTGAATTTCCTCCTGAAGGTCTCATGTTTGTGTATGTGACACAGGAATATCCGGCTCCAGAGTCCAGTTCCTGTCACTGAGCCTCCCGGGAGCTCGTGAGGTTCGTCTGGCACGCCGTATCCCCGTCAGGTCATTCTCCGAGACTTCTGTGTACTTTGCTTCAAAAGATGGGATTAAAGATGGAGATGGCGGAAAGGTACGATGATGGATATACAGCGTTACTTGTCATACACTCCCTATTCTCTGACAACAAGGGTTTAAGGAGGAAATAACAACTTGCCAATGTAATTAAATTCATCCTCTTTCTGGATTTTTATTTATTTATTTTTTAATATGTATATACTTGTCTTCCTTCTAAGAAATCTGTTGGTGAAGGAAGTGGAAAGAGATCCAGCTCAAATAATTCTGGCAAAGGAGGAAGTCAGCTGAGATGCCCTAAATGTGGAGATCCTTGCACACATGTAGAAACATTTGTTTGTGAGTACTTGATTTATTTTCTATGGTTTAATTTTCTATTACCATTTCATTTTCATTTGATTTCATTAATTTTTTTCACACAATTGTTTGTCTGCTGTGTATAATATGAGATTACTCAAGATGATCACTTTTTTTTATTACTGACCTTGTTTCCAAAGAGTTATGGTTTATTTTGCCCTTGTGCATGTTTAAGTAGGCCAGAGTGTTAACTGAACTAACTGTTCAATGCTAAAAATAAATCACACACAAGTTGCTTTTTCATCTGCTGGTGCTTTAATTAGTAACAACGTTTTAAAGTTGCTTTGTTAAAAGTAAAAAATTGAGATTGCATTTTAAATTGCGATTTAAGAAATTCTTTCTTGCTTATTTTATTAATGTTGTTATTATTATTAAATAACAGTATTTCAGTTTCAATTAATCATGCAGCTCTAGTTAAAAGTGAGTAGAATGAGTAACAGTCCCATTATTTTAATAAAATTACACTAAGATGTTATTTCTCTTTTGTGTAGCATCAACTCGCTTTGTGAAATGTGAAAAATGCCACCACTTTTTCGTGGTGCTTTCCGAAACGGATACTAAGAAGAGTTTGAGTAAAGACCCGGAATCCGCAGCAGAAGCTGTCAAGTTGGCTTTCCAACAGAAACCCCCTCCACCACCTAAAAAAGTTGGTTATTCATTTTACTTTGAGATTTTAAAGCAGTATAACACCCCTGGTTGTCTCCATCTTAATATAATATATAATCTCTTTGTTTTCTCGCAGATCTATGCTTATCTGGATAAGTATGTTGTGGGTCAGGACCATGCTAAGAAGGTTCTGGCAGTGGCCGTTTACAACCATTATAAACGCATCTACAATAACATGCCCACAGGCTCCAGACAGCAGCAGGTGGAGGCGGAGAAACAGGCCTCCCTCACTCCTCGAGGTGAGTGTGTGTGTGTGTGTGTGTGTGTGTGTGTGTGTGTGTGTGTGTGTGTGTGTGTGTGTGTGTGTGTGTGTGTAAAACACACATGGAAGGTAGGAGCAGGTGGTTTTCACTAAACAGGTCTTATGTAAGATAAACACAGCCATTAGGAAATGAATCTGTTACAGGATACAAATTAAATCCATGTCCTCAAAAAGCCAGGTTTCACTCTGTCAGCTGAAATTAAAATGAAGAAGTGACCCTGTGGGCAATAGTAGGGATGATTGCTGCGACTTCTACTCTGCATTTACCCAGAAATATGCCACATTAGTTACGTTAAATTGTCTTTTTAAGCATTCTGGTTATGCAGTGTTTCAAATAAAGGATATGACAGTTTGCCAATGTGTTCCTTCTTGAATCTTCTAATCTTCTCCTTCAGAAGCCAAAATAACCTCCGTTGTGATGTGTACTCTGTCCATTAGTATCTAATCCAGCAGCAGCATTTTATGATATCTGTCATCTTTTGGCATTTGTACAATTCAGAAGCATTTTTGCAGCAGAGTTTACTTTTAATTGATCAGGGTTTTTTATAACTGTCCTCCTTTCTCTGTAGAGCTAGAGCTAAGACGACGAGAGGACGAATACAGGTTTACAAGTAAGTGTGTCCACATCCATAATCTTATTGTCCATACAGGATGTCATTTAAACCATTTATTTTTCGAAAGAAGTCTGTTTTATGTTGCTTCAGTTTGCTTTGATTTATGTTGGGTGTTGTACAAATGCCAAAAAATCACATAGTCAGTTTTCTTCATTTCCTTTACCCTTTTTCATTGTTGAAATGTTATATCATTGCATAATTACGTAAGTGGCAATGCATGTATCTGAAAGAATGCTGTCATGTTTTACGTTTGACTGCTGGTTCATGTGTCGCTTTTGTCAAATGCAGCTTTCAGAGGTCCTTGTCACATGAAATCCCTGTAGATCCTATGATTAGAGCAGCTGTGCACACTAAGCAAATTGACCTTACCAGTTCACAGTGCATGATGCAACTAGTCTTTACTGAAGAAAAGAGTAAACATTTCGGTGCTGTTATAACCTAGTATTATTCATGTACTTATTTGCGATTTGCAAAACATTTATATTTAAAAAATTTTAGATTTTGCTTTAATATTTTTTATGTGCTTTTGTCATTTTCTTAGCCATTTTACTAATTTCTATTTAGCTCTAATTGATTTTTATTTCATTTTTAGTTTTAGTCATTTTGATACTTTGACTTAAACTAATTTTATTTCATTTTTGTCATGTTTTTATATTTTATTCTTTATATAGAAAGTATATATGCAAGTATATGTAAGTATAGAGTTTTGATTATAACTTTTTATTATTACCATATGACTCGTAAAGAAATGTTCGATACAAGTTGAAGCTGAATGGACATCATGTGTGGCATGCTTTCAATTACCTAAAAATATTTTTTGGCCCCATCTCTCAGTTCGTTGATCATTGTGATTAAAATTGTCTTCTAATTTTGCCTGTGCAAATGTATATAAAATCTTAAATAATGCACATCTTTGTATCAAAGTTTTTTCAAGTGGTTTAACAAAAATGTGAGCTTTGGATACTTTGATTCAAACCCTTGTTGAATGTCTTGCCTTATAGACTGTAGACCATTGTAAGTGCATTACTGTAAACATATATTTTGTAATTATGATAAGTGAGGTGTTGAAACTATTGTGGTAATTACCAGTGTGCCAAAAAAACTTGACCTTTGAACCTGGAACATTCCTTTTAAAAAATATTATGTAAACTGGACTAATTACATAAGAAATTTTTCAAATTGAGTTTTTCAAAGATACATAATCAAGATTCTGGAAACACTAAGCTTAAAAAATTCATAATTTATGCATTTATTGTTTTGTTTTTGCTGCTGTTGTTTAATTTGTCCAGAGCTGCTCCAGATCGCAGGGATCAGTCCTCATGGAAACGCTCTGGGTGCCTCCATGCAGCAGCAGTTGAACCAGCAGGCAGCTCCAGAGAAGAGAGGAGGAGAAGTGCTGGACTCCACACACACCGACATCAAACTAGAGAAGAGCAACATAGTGCTGCTGGGCCCTACTGGCTCTGGTGAGACCGAAAAACACTTTCAGTGTTGTGTACGATTTGATAGAAGCCTTAATTATTAAACGGAGCAAAGATGGTTTTGATATTTAAATTGATTTTGATCAAATAAAGGCAGCTTTGTTGAGCAATTCGCAGACCCTATACCTTTTAACGTTAGTGTATGTTTTGAGTGTGGTAATATGGAAAAACTAGAAACCTTGAGTTGTGTGACAGGAAAAACACTTCTGGCACAAACGCTGGCCAAATGCCTGGATGTTCCCTTTGCAATCTGTGACTGCACCACCCTCACCCAGGCGGGGTACGTGGGAGAGGACATAGAGTCAGTCATCGCAAAGCTTCTGCAGGACGCCAACTATGTGATCGAGAAAGCTCAGCAAGGTAACAGTTGTGGGAAACATCCTGTGACATTTACCCACATGTATGAAATATTCAAAAATAATTTCTTCAATTAAAGTTCGATTTGGATGTTGAAATTGTTTCAGGTATCGTGTTTTTGGACGAAGTGGACAAGATTGGCAGCGTTCCCGGGATCCATCAGTTAAGGGACGTGGGAGGAGAGGGAGTGCAGCAGGTTTGTTATTAAAAATGAAGCAGATTCTCTGTCCTAGATTACGCACTTCAGATGTGTCACTGATATTCAGCTAAACTTTGACCTAAATCGCAAGAACGCTCACACGGCTGTTAAAGATTTACAGAAACACAGTCTGTTATTCTTGAAATCTCACTTCTGTATTTCTAGTGTACTTCTTTAATCACTAACAAAAACTTATGATGTACTAATTTTGTACAAAATCTGCCAATCATTTTTTATGACTACAGAAAACTGATTTTAGTCATATCTAAAATTTTGATGTCTTTACAGAAAGATTTTTTTTTAAATAACCTAAACTGTGATAGTGTTTTTGTTGTGATGAATAACTTTACGTTGTTTTTTGTAGGGTTTACTTAAGCTACTGGAAGGCACTATTGTTAATGTTCCTGAGAAGAACACAAGAAAGCTGAGAGGTGAAACTGTGCAAGTTGACACCACCAACATCCTGTTTGTAGCATCTGGAGCATTTAATGGACTCGACCGTATCATCAGCAGGAGAAAGAATGAGAAGGTAAGTTCTAAAAGAATGTTGACGCATAAGAATAAAGCTTTATTCACAAAATGGTGAAAGACTAGCTTGGTTATCTTAAATTTCATATTTCATTTCCTTCAGCTAAATTATTCTAATAAATGATCAATGGACTAACGGCCTTAAGAAGTATTTCTTTGTTTAGTATGGGGTTGTCAGGACTACATAAACTGCCATTGCAATGTTTTGGGTCAGCAAGATCCTTTTTATTTTTTTTAAGAAATTAATACTTTTATTCAGAAAAGACTCATCAAATGTGACTGCAGACATTTATAATGTTACAAAATATATCTGTTTCAAAGATGAGTAATTGCTGCTGAAAATTCAGCTTTGCTATCACATGACTATTAATAAGCTATTTTAAATCAGGGGTTGGGAACCTTTTTTGACCAAAGAGATATTTTTTCTTTCATTTTTGGTTAATGCATTTTTCTATAAGAGCCACGGTAAAAAATTTTTTTAAATACCATTAAAAAAAGCATGTTTTGTTTTCAATAACTCGACAATAATAGTAACTTTATCAAGTCCTTAGACAACTATAAACCAAACAAATATGCTAAAAACAATAAATAAGTTGTAATTTGGAATTAATTGTGCAGGGCTTTCACTGTGAGGTTGAGTTACCACCTGAGGAGCATAAATCCTACGTGTGTGTAGAACAACGTACAGTGCTTACACAGTGCTTACATCGACTGTTCTTATGTGGATACTCACCAAGGTGGACATTTTGACATTTCTGTGTGTATTTTTGTATTCTGTTTAAGCGTGCAACAAAAGACAAAGGCTTCTATGCTTGTCCATGTTCCGCTCGGAGCGCGCGGATATATATATATATATATATATATATATATAATATATAATGTGCCCATTGTCTTTATATTCCATATATAGTACCTTGGGTTTGGAACACCGTCTAACATGGGGAAAGGTCGAAGGGCGGCAGCAGCGGCTGACCTGGCAAACACCACAGGTGGAGAGATGGACGCAGTGGCCGAGATCGAGGAGAAAGACCGACTTCTGAAACACGTGGAGGCCAGAGACCTCATTGAATTCGGCATGATTCCTGAGTTTGTGGGCCGTCTTCCCGTTGTGGTTCCACTGCACAGTCTGGATGAGGAGACGCTGGTGCGCATCCTTACGGAGCCACGCAATGCTGTCGTGCCACAGTATCAGGCTCTCTTCAGCATGGACAAGGTTGGTACCTAATCTATATAACTAGAGGTGTCAATAGATTAAACATTTTCATCACAACGAAGCGTACCCTTTTGTACAATTAATCGCGATACTTACGCATACTCAACGTGAAATTAAGCATACTTCATTTGTCTTGTATGACGCATTTATTTTGTCATCATTTGCTATATCCATCAAAGTAAACTATCGGATTGTAGGATTTATTCTCACAAAACTGGAATTTCTGCTAGCTTTTTGTAAATTTAGGTGTCTTTCCATAAAAGGACACATGGAGACTCCAAAAGGATATCTAATAACCAAATCATATCAGGAGACTATATAATTCATAAATTTATGCACACCAAAGCGCACACACACATAAAAAAAAACATTACCAAACAAAACTTTTCAGAATTGAGTGTACAGTGTAACAGCAAAGAGCTTGTTTACATTTTAGACATGTAGGATCAGGATCACATGGAGATGCCAAAGAAAAAAAAAAAAACCAACTTGACATGACTGCATTATATGCCTACTACAGTACATTCAGAATTACTAAACACAGCAACATACACATGACGGATAATAATATTATCCTGAATGTGTGTGGAAACAATGTGAATGTACTGAAATGTGTGTGCATAAATACAATGTGTGATCAGTGTGTTGAGAGCGCACATAATCGGTTTGACATAAACTATGTTAATGACACAATTCCGCGTGTTTCAGTAATTTATTTGCGTTTAATTATTTTAACATGTTAAGAATTGAATTTGAATTGTATGCTGTGTAAATAGGAACTTCCCATTGACTTTGAATTAAGCGAATTAAAATTAAACCCCTAAAATTACAAAATAAAATAATAATAATTAAAAATAAAATACAACTTTTTGCCATTTTTATTATCTCATCTCCTTTTGAACATTCTTTTATTATCATTATTGTTATTTTTTAAATATAATTATATTATATATATATATATTGATATTTTATTTATTTATTCAATTTGTTAATATAAGCAGATGATTTATAGACAGTGCTACAAATTCAGTAAATATATAATACATCATGTAATATAATATGGTAAAATGTGGCATAAGTGAAAAGAAAATCATCAAGTGTTTCTCTAAGGATGTGCTGTGTCTTTGTTTTGTATTAGTGTGATCTCAACGTTTCGACTGATGCCCTTAGAGCGATCGCCAGATTAGCTCTGGAGCGTAAAACCGGAGCCCGTGGGCTTAGATCCATAATGGTAAGAGAATGCTGTTTTTGTTGCTTGTATTGTATTCAGTTTTCCGTTCCTCAAAGGCATGCTGGTTTAATTACGTGTGCTCTTGTGATGTCATAAGCTGCCACTATTTCCCAACAGGAAAAACTGCTGCTTGATCCCATGTTTGAGGTGCCACATTCAGATATTGTGGCAGTGGAGGTGAACAAGGAAGTGGTTCAAGGAAAAGCACCAGCTCAGTACATAAGGTGAGAGCTTCCATGGCCTAAATTTTTTTTTTCATTTTTTTTTTCATCTTATCTGTCTACGCTTAAGTTTAAAACCTATTCTGACTCACCTGGAACTATGGACAGTTTTCAGGCCTGAAGTTATTCTTTTTTCTCTCTCTTTCTGTTCTGAGCAGGAGTAGGCCATTTTAGGGTAAAAATACAATTAAAAGAATAAATAAAAAAACCTTAAAATTGATAACACTTGACAATACAAGTGTTATAACTAACATAAACTAACAGTGAGCAATATATTATTTTACAACATTTCAGATCTTTCTTATTGTTAGTTAATAAAAACACGTGTTCTTTGTTTGTTAGTTCACAGTGCATTAACTAATGTTCACAAAATACAACTTTTGGTCTTCAAAATGTATTAGTAAATGTTGAAATTAACTAAGGTTCATTCTTAGTTCATGTTAACAAATGAAACCTTATTATAAAGTGTTACCAAAAAATGTAAGTATATCATGTATTTGAAGAATCTATTTTGAAGATGCCTTGATCTTTTATTTATCTATTTAAACTGTAATGCACTATTTTTTTATTAAAAAAATAATTATACAATATTTTTAATAATACATATAATTCAATAAATATCATTAAAATCAAATGTATAAGTAAATGTTGAAACATTAACTAAGATTATTAAATGGTGTAGAAGTATTGTTCATTCTTAGTTCATGCCAACTAATGTAGTTACCTAATAAAACCTTTAAAATTAAAGTATATCATGCATTTAAAGAATTTATTTTGAAAATACCTATCTTTTATTTATCTTTTTGAATTGTAATGCACATTGCAATTTTATCAAAAACTTTTTAAACAATATATATTAATCTGCAAACATAATATAATGTTCCTCATTTTGGGTTCATTCAATTACTTAAAGAACTGTGGTTAGATTTGTACATATTGAGAATCTATAAATACACTTGATAGCTTAACTGTCTATGTAAACCAACACACATTGCTGTCCTTTTGAATTTACTAATTACTAATTATTTTAATGGAACTTGGTAGTCATTTGATTAGTGTCATTGACTCTGTTTCTCTCTCCACTCAGAGCTGCTGCTAAAGACTCCTCTGAGGAGGAGTATGATTCTGGAATCGAGGAGGAGAACTGGACAAGACAGGCTGATGCCGCCAAGAACTAAAAACTACAAACCCGGTTTAAAATCAAGACTTTTCTGTAGCTGATTGTTTGCATCCTCCGTTGTCCTAAGGGTCCATTTCTCACTATACGCTTGTGATGATTTGTTACTCACTTTGGAAAATCTTATTCTGTGAATTTATGCCATCTCTTCCCTCACTTTATGTAATCATGGCTCATAGAAATAAGTTCAGTCTACCAAGTCTGTGGGAAGTCTCCCCTGAACCTATCCTCCTAAAGAGATTTATGAAATATAAAGAATTTTATTTTATTTTATTTCATTTTAATTTCTCTTTGCCCTGCTTGGAATAAAATTACACATTTTGTGTCACACTGGTCATGTGCTTGTTATAGTTACTGTAGCAGACATTGAAATAAAGTATCCAATATGACATTTCTGTAGCTGAACCATATGAATAATAATTAGAACCCCACCAGAATATGTATTTGATAAAGGTCTCTTTAATCAAATTATGTCTCTGTATAAGCTAACTTTAAATTTGGCACATTATTTCTTTCCTTCACTCAATGCTGTGGATTGAAGTGGGATTTTTAGATGTCCAGTTTGCTATTACTCTCAGGCTGCTATTTGCATTATTTTAAGTGTCAAGAAAATCAGTAACTGGCTGGAACTTCAAGGACATGCCTACTGTCACCTGATCAATGTCTTGTTTTAATTTCTCCTGTTATTCACAAAGTTGCCCAGTAATGGAAGATGTATTTGTATCGGCAACCAAGTCAACTGGTCTCTTTGAGAAAGTTGCACATCAGTAACTGCAGTAGTTACACAGTGATTTAATCTCTGTGCTGGATTACCGGTGTAATTCATTTTTAATCTCTTCACAGAAATGGATTTCTTTTTCTTTTGAATTGCATTGTTATAGAGTTTACTCACATTAATGCAACGCGGGAAGGGGTTACTTTTTACATAGAGAGAGTAGAAACCTTGTATGATTCAGCCGTCAAGTCAAAGGATATATGTACAAAAAAAATGATGTATGAATAAAATGTAAATATTATCACTGAACAATGCAGGTATTCTGTTGTATTTCAATAAACACAACAATGAGCATTAGATAAAGACCAACAAAGAAACTAAATATGACATTGCTTAATGGACAAACACGTACAGCATAGCATAAAATACATTATGAAATGTAGCATTAAAGGCATAGTTCACTCAAAAATTTAAAATCTGTCATTTATTCACACTCATGGTCAAAACTAGCAATATTTTCTTCCATGGAACCATTTATTTTTCATTCATCATTTTCTTTCACTGTATGGAAAGATGAAATGAAGGTTGTCATCCTGCAAAGCATCTCCTTTTGTGTTTCATGGAAGAAAGGCCTAAAGGTTTATAAAAACATGAGGCTGAGTAAATGATAACAGAATTTTCAGTTGTAGTTAAACTATTCATTTTACTACAGTACAATGCAATGTTAGAGTAATGACTTGAATCAGACAATAGCCTACTCTTTATTTATTGAACAAAGAGGGATAGTATTGACAAAATTAAATATATAAATGCATAATTAAATATACTAACAAATGTTTCAATTAATGGATAAAATAATATTAGCAAAATACGATTTTCTTATATAGAATAGAGAAGAACAGAATAGAATGCAATAGGTAATGTTTTCTAAGAAATCACTTATGCTCAACAAGGCTGCATTTAAAAACATATTGTGAAATGTTATTGCAAATTAAAATGTTTTCTATTTGAATATAATTTAACATTCAAGAAGTTGAGGAGAACAGCATCATTGTCTTCAGTGTCACATGATCCTCCAGAAATCATCCCAATATGCTGATTTCCTGCTCAAGAAATATTTCATATTATTATCAATGTTGAAAACAGTTGTGCTGCTTTAAAGGAATGGTTCACTTAAAAATGAAAATTCTGTCATCATTTATTCACCCTCAAGTTGTTTCAAACCTGTAAGATTTTCTTTCTTCTGCTGAACACAAAAGAAGATATTTTGAAGAATGTCGGAAACAGTTGATGGACCATAGACAGTATAAGAAGTGATGGACCCCATTGACTTCCATAGTAGGAAAAACATACTATGGAAGTCAATGGGGTCCATCACCTGTTTGGTTACCGACATTCTTCAAAATATCTTCTTTTGTGTTCAGCAGAAGAAAGAAATTCATACAGCTTTGAAACAACTTGAGGGTGAATAAATGATGACAGAATTTTCATTTTCAAGAAAACTCTTCCTTTAATTTATAATCAGATTATACATTTTTCCGGTGTCCTCAATGTTAATTTCCATCCTGCTTTAATTTTGAAAGGGATTTTATTTTGAAGCCCTCCCGACCGGAAGTTCTTTCTTCATAATTTCCGGTTATAAGCTGTTCTCTGGACGTTCGTCATAACTGCGCGCTTCAACAAACACTGATTTGATTTTAGCATGAAATAATGGATAACTCTCACCAGTTCGGTTATATGGGCGCTCCGCCTCCTCCCTTCTATGCTCCTGCGTGTACATACGGCGCGGGTTATCCAGGAGGAGGTGCAGGACCACCACCAATGCCTCCTCCGGCTGCAGCGGGACACACATGGAACATGTATCAACATCCACCAGTACAGACTCACTGGCACCAGTTCCCACCCTTCGACCCGAGCAGACCACCTCCAGTCACCTTTGAGCCTCCTCAACACACTGAGAACCCTCCACCCTGGCTCCAGAACCAGTGGAATCAACCAGAACATCATTACAGTGGACATTTCCCACCAAATCAACATCAATATCCAAATTCAGCCCCACCATCATATCAGTCCAACGTCAGGCCGGATCATTCAGCTCACATGTACACCTCCAACCGCCAAAATGACTCATTTACCGACCAGTCTGCGAATAGATCCTGGCTAGATGACAACCAAAACAACAGTAAAAATACTTCAGTGACAGCTTGCGATGAAGAATCCAAGCAGCTGTTGAGAGATCAGCAGTGGATTCAACGTTTCTTGCATTCAAGAATCAGGAACCCCAGTGAACCAAAGCGAACCGAATCCCACCCACCCATCTCTCAGTTCAAAGAAAATCTGTATGGGACTGTTAAAATGCTGTCTGAGTTAAATATCGTGTGCCAGATGCTGAAGGATAATTTGGAGAATGAAGATGTGTGGACTAGTACGCTGTCAAAAGCAGCAGAACTGAAGAACCACATCCAGGAGAGACTGGCCGAGCTGAAGGACCCAGACTGCGTTCGCAGCATCAAGAGGAAAGTACTGCAGATCAACAAGAAGAGAGCCAGGATGAGGAGAAGGAAGGTGGAACTGAAGGAGGAAGAGCTGGAACGGGAGGCTAGACGAGCTGAACGAGAGGCGGCGGTTGATAAATGGCAGATGAAACGCATTCAAGAAGTGGAGGAGAAGAACAGAGTGAGGAAAACTGACAGCTTATATCATATAGGGGGCGCTACACGCTCAGTTTTGGGTCATCCGTTATGCATTGCATTTTCATGATATAAAATATTATTGATAGTTTTATTATTAATTATGCTTTATATATGTAGATGTATTATGATTCTATATTAATAATATCATACAATATGATTTATTCGAAAATGTAATATTAATGAATTGATAATTATGCTATATTCTCTTATATAAATAATGTAATTAAAAACAATTATAAGTATTTTTCTTTTCTCAAAATGTCTCAGTTAAGAGAACATAAATAAAATATATTATGCATTTTAAATAATTTCCCTACTTTGGTATGAATGGATATTAAGAATATTATGGGTGTTTCTTTATTTGTACCTTTCTGCAATCATTACATTTCAAATCAGGGATGTTTTTTGGGGGGGAATATTGATTTATAATTAGTTTATATTTTTCCTTGTGCACTTAATATTACTTTCCATTATGCTAGCTAGTCTTTACTAATATCACTTTAAGAGACTTCTGTTAGTTAATGACCTGTTCCTGTAAAAAAAAAAAAAAAATTTGACATCACTAATATTTTGACTAATTTTAGTTATAGATATTTAACAGTATCAATATGTGAATTTCCTCTACTGTGAACATTTTGTGTGGATGAGTTTATACATCCAGTAATGCCTGATCTAATAGTTTTGTTGTTGTTCAGGAGAAAGAGTTGAAACAGGCCGCAGATGCTGTTCTCTCAGAGGTCAGAAAGAAACAAGCAGATGCCAAGAGAATGCTGGACATCCTCAAATCACTGGAAAAACTCAGGAAACTCAGGAAAGAGGCGGCAGCCAGGAAAGGTAAACATAAAAATAAGATTATGTTTGCACAATTTAATGTAAAAGTTTGTATAACCATATCTTTAATGCTTAATTTCCTTGAATTTTTCCGATTTTAATAGGCATGTTTCCGGGAAAACCGAGTGATGACATATTTGATGGTCACCTGGAGCGGTTGAGGAGTCTGATCCATAAACGCACAGCCATCTACGCAACAGAGGAGAAAGCTCTGAGAGTCATGCTGGAGGGAGAGCAGGAAGAGGAACGCAAACGAGACCGCGAGAAACGACTGAAGAAAGAAAAAGAGAAGCTCTTGCAGAAGAAACGAGATGTGGACGCAATGCTGTTTGGAGGTAATACTGGGTTTGAGTATAGATAGATAGATAGATAGATAGATAGATAGATAGATAGATAGATAGATAGACAGACAGACAGACAGACAGATAGATAGATAGACAGACAGATAGATAGATAGATAGATAGATAGATAGATAGACAGACAGACAGACAGACAGACAGACAGACAGACAGACAGACAGACAGACAGACAGATAGATAGATAGATAGATAGATAGATAGATAGATAGATAGATAGATAGATAGATAGATAGATAGATAGATAGATAGATAGATAGATAGACAGACAGACAGATAGACAGATAGATAGATAGACAGACAGACAGACAGATAGGCAGACAGGCAGAAATATCAATTACATTTTAAAATATATTAAAATAGAAAACAGTTATTTTAAATTGTACAAATATTTCACATATTACTGTTTTTACTTTTTTTGATAAAATAGATGCAGCCATGGTGAGCATACAATAAAAATTGATTCCAAACTTTTGGCCGTTAGTGTGTTTACTACTTACGCAATTATTTGCCCCCTTGGTAAATATGATCAAAGTTGGGTGTAGAAAATAAATCTGCATTGTTAATCCTATTGTGCATTGTTAAAATCTAACCTTTTATTGAAGAATTGAAAGTGGGGGGAAAATCTCATTATGAAATAAATGTTTTTCTCCGAAACACGTTGGGAACAATTATTTGCCCCCTTTTATTAAATACTTTAAAGTATTAAATAAAAGAGGGCAAATAATTGTTCCCAATGTGTTTTGGAGAAAAACATTTATTTCATAATGTGATTTTAACAATGCACAATAGGATTAACAAATGCAGATTTATTTTTTACACCCAACTTTGATCATATTTACCAATAATTCTGACCAGCACTGTATCTACTACGAGACAAACACATCCAGGTCCTAAGCAAGTTTCCTGATCCTTAATCCATTTGGGATGTTTTTTTTCTGAGGACACCACAAGTTGGCAGTATAGCCAGTTTTCTGTCCCTGTACTATTTTAAGGTGTGCTTCACTCGGTGTACAGTGAGTATATGTGGTGCAGCACATCTTAAAATAGTACAGAATAAACCTACAGTCGATCTTTTTGTTCAGTCGTATTTATATGGCACTTGTTTCCCTATTTTTTTAGGTTCATTCATATGCAATACAATGTGCAATTGTTCATTTACATGATTGTAAACTCTCTTCTTTTCTTTTTCTTTAGCTGAATTGCCACCTGATCACCCTCTTCAACCGTTCCATGATTACTACACACAGGCTGAGCGCTCCCTTCCTGCTCTTATTCAAATAAGGTCTGTTTTCAAATCAGAAGTAACCTCTAAAAATAACTCTGAGTAAATGTGATAAAGCTCAAAGAATGTGTTCCTATTGCATTCCCCCTGACAGGAGAGAGTGGGATCAGTTCCTGGTTTCTGTCGAGCACCCCGACGGTACATCGGTTCCTCGAGGCTGGGTTCTGCCCGACCCGCCAGCCGACGACATCTGGGCCACGGCCCTGGAGAAATGACACTTTTGACCCCAAAGACTGTTCAATCATTTGTGGGGGAAAAACGTTTGGTTGGGAAAATGTGTGGCCAGATTAAGTGATGCTAATTTTAGTGAATTTTATGAAAAGAATTCTCCCAAAAAAGCTTTTTTGAGGACCATTGAGATTTTTTACATTGTGACACTTTTTTCGTGACAGTTAATTGCATTTTCCTCAAATTCTCATTAATGTGTTTGGATATTTTTCTGTAATTTTTCTGCATATTTTTCAGTTTTACTGTAATTCTCATTATTCTCAGTGGTAATTTTCATTAGATTCTCATTGCTGCAATACTTTTTTACTGAAATAATTATATTTTGTTATTTAAATACCCTTAAAACTCCAGTAAAACAAATACTACTATAATTTATAAATGACACACACACACATATATAGTGGGTGTGTATACATATATATATATATATATATATATATATATATATATATGTATATATATATATATATGCATTACAGTAATGAGGATGGGGCGATGTGCTTAATTTTCATGAAAATAATGTTACAATGCAACTATAATTATTTATTTTGGGGCGATATATGAACTGGTTATTTACTGAGATTCATCCATTTATTTGGAGGATGATCCGTCTATTAGTAGTCCTTCAAAACACGTCACATGTTGACTTCTGTGAAAAAGCCAAAAGACTGATTACATCACAGTGATTTTCTGTGATCTGCTTAATACAGCCATGTTCATTGTGTTTATAAATGAAAACGCATCTAGATATGTTCAGATACATTACTTGTGTGTAATATTTCACATGACAAAATAATAGTTTACTTGTCAAGAGTAAAATAAAGTGTTTCCATGATGGTTTTCTAAATGCGGATGCTTCAGGTAGACTTCCTGTAGGTGTGAGCGGCTCAGGTTAACAGCCAATGTCAGTGTGTTTTGTCATTGGATTAGTGGAGCAGAGGTAGTCAACACACATGTCTACAGAGTGACGATAACACTGTCCTCATCACACAACTGACACGAGACACGCACGGGAGACAGGTGAGGAAACATTTAATAAAACTTCTGTTTTTGATTTAAGTGAAATGGCTAATATATTTAAAGAACAATTATTTTAAAGAATATTTGATCAACTCAATGGTGGTTGCTTCATGTGGATGTTTGTTTAAAAATGAAATTAATTTGAAATTCTTTGTAGGTTTAATGATGTTAAATGCTTTATTTTCATGAATGTCTTTGTTTATCCGTTTTAATGAAGGTTGTTAGATTTCAGTATACACTGGGAAAATTGGGTGTGGGATTTTGAAAAGGTTTTCACTCAGACATTGCTAGCAAATTTCACAAAGAATTTCAAAGAAACGGCAAGTAACGCATTGAATTAAACATGAAATTTGGAAAGATGGAAATAGTATTTTCTTTTAAAACGTACCTCAATTTACAATTGAAAAAAATATATATTTTTTACAGTGTATATAATATAAAATTTATGATTTAATTATTTTATACATTTATATGTGTTTTATAGTATTTAAATAAAGAAATGTGTAACATTTCAAATATAATATAAAACAAACATTTTTACACCACTATAATATACCGCATCCTCATTTTAGCATAATCGGGTTTTACATTTTTTTTCTACAGCATTACAGTATAAGTATATATTTTAAAATACCAGAATAAAAAAAAAATGCATTATTATTTATTTGTTTACATTTAACATGAATATTTAATTTTCTGTTTTGTGAAATATCTTAAAGGGATAGTTCACCCAAAAATGAAAGAGTCATCATTTACTCACCCTCAAGTTGTTCCAAACCTGTATGCGTTTCTTTCTTCCGTTGAACACAAAAGAAGATATTTTGAAGAATGTTTGTAACCCGACAGTTGATGGACCCATTGACCTCCATAGTATTTGTCCTATTATGGAAGTCAATGGTTACCGTCAACTGTTTCATTACCAACATTCTTCAAAATATTTTCTTTCGTGTTCAACGGAAGAAAAACTCATACAGGTTTGGAACAACTTGAGGGTGAGTGTGATGAAAATGATGACAGAATTTTCATTTTAGGGGTGAACTATTAAGCGTTTATTTCAGTAGGGTTTTGACTGAAAGGTGTTTTCTCAAGTATCAGGAAAGCACATATAGACCAGATCTTTCATCTTTAATGGAAGTCCTCATATAGTATCATGACAGATTATTCGCTCACACCCAGCATCCTCTGTCTGTGGTTTAGGCAGAATACCACAATTTATTGAACTTTTCATTGTTCTTTCCTACACAAGAAGGAAAACAACTTAAGAGCTTACCAAGCATCTGGCTGTTAAGACTCGGCTCAGTTTGAAAATCTAAAACCATCTGGTGAAAAAGGTGCGGAGCAGCATATTAGGATCAGATCTGAGCAGCTGTCCCAGTGCTTTGCCATAGTGAAGAGCTTCAGCAGGCCGTATGGTGCAGGACACATCAGACTACTATAGGAAACGAGGACTTTTCCAATAACGTTGGGTCTGATTTTATGCAGATCATTTCTATACCCACTCTGACAAACCATAACTAGTCTTGAGAAAAATGCACTTTTCCCACTAATGTTTCTGACAGGTAAACATATGATAGAGCACGTGTCTCTGCACATGGCGGTGACGTTGAGACAGTCAGGTGGTCAAGTCTCCGTAATCTTTAATCCCTAATCCTCTAGTCTCCTTACTATTGAGGGACAGGTAAACAAATATAGAGACGTTTCAGTCCAACATGTAGATGTTTTCTGAGAAGCTGGAACGGGGGGAAAAACATGCACCTATGTGGGGGTTTGTCATGCGTTGTTACAATACTGAAAGTCTTGACAATGTTTTTGCATTTGTTTGATCAAAAATACCGTAATATTATTAAATTATATTACAATTTAAAATAACTTTTTTTTAAATTTGAATATGTTTTGAAATGTAATTTATTCCTGTGATGCAAAGCTGAATTTTCAGCATCATTACTCAAGTCTTCAGTGTCACATGATCCTTCAGAATCATGTTATTATTGGTCCTCATCTATTAATAAGGGTTCTTATTAGTATCAATGTTGAAACCCATTTTTAATATTTTTGTGGAAACCGTGTAACATTTCTTTCAGGAATCTTTGAATAAAAAGTTCAATGAAATAGAAATCGTTTGTTGCAATATAAATCACTTTACTGTCAATTTAATGCATCCTAGCTAAATAAAAGTATTAATTTCTAAAAAATATCATTCATACCCCGAATCTTTGAATGATTGTGCATAAGTTACCACAAAAATATGAACATTCTCAACATTAATAATAATATTTGTTTCTTGAGCAGCAAATCAGCATATTAGGATGATTTCTGAAGGATCATGTGACACTGTAATGATGTACAGTAATGAGTAACGATGCTGAAAATTCAGCTTTACCATCACAGGAATAACATTTTAAAATATAAAACCGTTTTTTTTTTTTTTTTTTTATAACATTTCACAATAATAAAGTTTTTATTGAATTTGTGATCAAATAAATGTAGTCATGGTGAACATGAGATGTTTCTCTCAAAAACATCATAATTATTCCAAACTTTTGATCAGTAGTGGACTGTGTGAGATTGTTTGGTTTGGTTTCAGACGTTTCTTTTATTTTGCATGTCATTTCTGTTTTCAGATAGGTGTGAAATGTCCTGTCTGGATGAGGTGCCCTTCAAGATCCCACTCGGCGTCCTCGAGGATGCAAAGGAAGAGTTTGAGCTCCTCGCAGCTCCAGAAATCACTCTGCCCGACTACCTGAAGATACTGCAGGAAACTGAGGTCTGATACTTCCTGTTTCTGACCTGACGTTATCAGGTGGCTTCAAAAAGTATTTGGACACTTATCACGCTTTTAGCATCTTCAAACAAATTACAGCTATTCTTTTGTCAATTCTCCTCAGCTCTATACCTCACATTAACTATTTATGTTCCACTTTGACAACCTGAAAGCATCCAAATACCTTGTATCCTCCTTTCGAAGTTTGTCTCAGTTTTTCTACTGGATACCTTGGGAGAAATAAACAGATACAAAAAATATATATATTCAATTCAATTCACATTTATTTGTATAGCGCTTTTCACAGTGCACATCATTTCAAAGCAGCTTTACAGAAAATGCATGAGTCCACATTACAATTTAGAGTGATCTGTTATCAGAGGTAACTGTCTAAGTTATGTATTTCAGAAATGTACATATACAAAAACACTTCTCTTAGGAACTCTGAGGTCTGAACTAATACTAAATTACTGCATGTGTTTCTGAGATCTTCAAGACCATTCCCAACAGAGCATCTGCGAAGTCCATAAACCGCATTAGGCTCAATGTAATTTGCCAATGCATCCAGTTATTACAGCAATTGCTTAATGTAATTTCACTGAGTGCAGGCTGTCACTAAAAAGGACATGGGAAAATACAAAGACACTTAGTGTAAGTGTATCCCTGCTACCTCTAACCCATTCACATCTGTGATTAGGCTACTCTCTAATTACACTGACATATGATCTTTCTAGTATGCTGTTTATTTATCCTGGAGGTGTGCGGTCCATAGGGACCATGTCAACATAGGGACCATGTCAAAAATACAGTATAATTATGTCTCTGATTACAAAACCTTAAACGGTAAGGGTAAAAAAAAAAAGTAATTGGCTGTCAGCAATCTATGTAATATTGTTGATGTAATTGGTACTGTAGATCCATTGGGATAAAATGCCTAACATTCCTAAGGGTTTGTGTGTTACTGGTCAAGGTATTTGTAAAGAAAACGTATTGCTGTCAAAGGTTATTACAATCTAATCAGAAATAAGCTAATGTGGACCTTTTATGGCTATATGTGCTGAACTTGAGTTTGTGTAAATTCTTAGTCATCTGTCCCACGTCTGTCCAAGAACAACATTGTGTACCTGCCTTGGAGCATTGCACGCTTAATTTTGCATTAAGGACTTGAATGCGATGCAAATTATTGTGTAATATTTGGCTGATGGTGTTTTGCACATCTGTTTTATGTTCACTATGATCCATAATACTGATATGGCAGATGTTACTAATATTAATAAGGATTCCCATTGCAATAGCTCATAGCATAGATTTATATGATGCTATAATCAAATCTTGGTGCTTGTCAGTCCAGTATTTATGCAGTTATAGGGAATTATTTCTTGTTGTTGAACCTACTGTAAACATGTAAGCATTTATTTTTTATGTCGATGTAAGTGGTCTTTGACTTTATACTGACACCTAGTGGTCTGGATGCAGAACTACACAAAAGCTTGTTTTTAGTAACTAGTGTTGTCCTTGAACTGCGCAGTCAGCCATGATTAATTTATTTACCAAGTCAAGTACAAGTGTTTGTTATTCGTCTATAACAGTTATAGGACCAGTTTTATAAACAGCCACACAATATTAAGACTGTGTCTTAAGAATTGTCTGACGAACTACCAGCTAGCCTAGGTATTCAGTCAGATTTTTCGGATTTCGGACCAATCTACCCTTTCATGTAACTGAAAAAAAAGTTGATGACTCACTTGTAAGGCCTGTCTAAGCAGTTAATGCAACTGGCCAGTAGATTTAGCAAAGCCAAGGCTCATACTGAACAACTATTTGTTTTTCTTTAAAAATTGTGTTTATGATGTCTAGACTAGAGTGATACTGTTATAGGCTAAACATGTTTTTTTTTCTGGTCGGTACATTCCATAAAAAAATGAGATATCTATAATAGGGTTGCAAGTTAAATATACATGGTGTTTTTTTAAAAGTCAGAACAAGGTTGGCATGTTCCTATTTGGCTCCATTTTGATGTAGATCTGGTGTGTGAACTCCCAAGTTTAAAACATTGGTTTAGATGTCATCATATGATGTTTAAAATGTTAATGTTAGTGTGTGAAAGTCACTGAACTGACTAAAATGCATTATTTTCCTGTTTATCACTGTAAAGCTGCTTTGAAACAATCTGTATTGTATAAAGCGTTACATAAATAAGGTGACTTGACTTGACTGGAAACTCAAATCTAAAGATGTCTCTTTTGTGTTTTGTTGTTTCAGTATGAGTTCAGCCTGGAGAACTGGGTTCTCACGGGCCTCCAGGGCGGCTATCCAACCCTCGGTCCCCGCTCTCCCTGTGAGCTGACGGCGACCTGTCCTCCATACTGGATGATGTTCAGCAGCCCTCAGGAGAGCAGGTTAGCCAGCCGCTGGAGCAGTGACTTCTGGGAACCCAACCCACGTCCCCGCAGCCGCAGCTTAAACGCGGACCACTACCGCGCAATGAACGCTCGGGTCAAATTCACCATTTCTGACTCTGAAGACGAAGAATTTACAGAAGAAGATGGGGCCACTCTTGGCGAGGGTGAAGCGCAGCCCAAACGGAGTGATTTTGCTTTGCCAAGGCAAGGACCAGGGTTGAAAGACTTGCACAGTTGTGGATCATCAAACTTCCTCAACTTGCCTTCACCTTGCGGCCTCTCCACACAGCGTCTGGGGAACTTCCGACAGTCTTCCCTCTGCGGGCCTTACTCATCCCGAAGGAACTTCCAGAGGAGTCAGAGTTCTGCTGGCTGTACTAATGCTTGTCCCGCAAAAAACACCAACTGCTTGCTATCTGAATGCATCAACAGACCCGCTCTAAAGGTACAACATCTTCTGATTTTGTGTTTGGGGTCTACTCGAAATAGGTTTTCATGCTTGAATGCCTTAAAACATCTTATTTTTTACATTGTTGCATCACATCTCTTCTGTCAGTTAAGCTCTTGGCTGCATTTCTCTCGTGAAGTTGATCGTAGAGAACATTGGTGGCAATGGTTCCACAATCTGCTTAGGCTTCTGATGCTTTTGGGAAACGCAGCCCTGTTTAGTTCCGGTCTCTATGAAGCCCCTCCTTCCCAAAATCACATTGTTCTGATTGGTCGGATGGGTCAGTGTGTTGTGATTTGACAGCAGCGTCGAGTGTGTTTCGGAAATGTCATGCCCCTTACCATAACCACGTTAGTTCTGGGGTGGAAAAAACAGTGTCTCTTGGACATGACAACACACTATAACGCTACTCATCTGGCCTCACCCCCTTTATTTTGCGTATGTCTTGGGAGGGAATTATTTGAAATCAGGAATATTTTGGCATGTATAATCCTGGAAGAAAACTCCAGACGATTCAGGGGGTTCAGAAATGGTGCGCACTGAAATAGAGTACTTTGTACATTCGCAGACCTTTTTCATGCTCAAAAAGGTTAAAAGGAATAATTGGTCCTCTTTAAACTTCCCTTCACCTGTGTATTTACTGCTCTTTTAGACCTGCTGCCACTTGGTGACATCCTCAGATTTTGCGGTACTCCTACAAGTCTGCACTTTGGTATTAAAATAGGGTGCATCAATGACACATAGTTAATGCAAAGGTAAGGCTTGTGAGCACCCTTTTTGAAAAATAAAATTACCTATGGTCTTGTAGACTTCACAAATGCGCATAAGTGAAGGTCACAAGAACACAAATCAAGTAGGCATATACCATTTGGGACCTTAGCCATAGTATTGAAGGCAGGAATACACTTCATGACTTTTGCCCAGATTTCTATTCCAAAATAAATTGCTTAGTTTTTTGTGTGTGTTTTTTTTTAATGAACTCAACTGTACGACACTAGTTTGTACCCACCTATCTCTATCAATCTCAAAAACATCTGTATATCTGATACATCTGTATAGATTTTACCACAAGCTAATGCACAGTCGAGTACCAAGTGTAATGAAATAAAAACGGAAACATGGTTCATCTGGATGCCAAAAGGTGTGGTTCAAATTTACTGCAAATAGCAGGTCGTTAGTGGCTCTGAAACAATAAACACGTTAAATAAACGACACTTCCATTTACTGGACTTGTTTGGGTACGCTTTTGATGTACCAGAAATTACAGTGTGTACTCTTTAGGGCCATAAACACAGACAACCCGACAGAGACGACTCATTTCGTTAATCTATTTGCACAAAAAAAAAATGTTGTATGTTTATGAAGAAGACCTTTATATAGTTGTCAATTCACTGAAGTTTTTAATAGTTCAGAGCCCACAATAAGAGTTGTCCTTAGAAGGCAACTGTAGACCCTACTATAAATATATTTTAACTGGCATGCCTCCAATTAAGTCCAGAAAGGTATTTTAATCACTTAAGCAAGAGACATCAGAGATGTGATCCAGAAGCATTTAGTCACTTCTCACCACTTTCCATTCGGATTCATTGAAAATCCTGTGTTGATATATCACACTGTGACTGCTAGGTATTTTGTTGCTCCTCATGAAATGACCGCCAGAACATCTCAATTCATTCAGATATTAGACATTAATGACTTCTCCAAAGTAGTTCTTTGTTGTTGTTTTTTTGGTGCACATTTCTTTAATGTCTCAGAAGATGAACTAGCTAATAATAGTGAGTGCTAAGTCTTTTCCTGGAATCTTGCCTAGCTACAACAAATTCGTCTGGATTAGCGAGTGGAAGTGCTCGGGAAATGTCTTTCTCAGCAAAGCTACGATTCAAGGTTACGCCTTTGTTGACAGTCTAATCCAACTTGTTATTAATGCCCATGACATCATCTCCTGCTAGGGTGCGCGGTCACGGTGCACTGAATACGGCAGGGGGCTTGTAGTTTTTCATTACATTTAGAGTTTTTGTTTTTTTGTTTTTACATGAACCGTGAATGCATTTTCCAGAAAAGTTTCCCGGCCTTTGCTGTTGTTTTATTCCATGGTTAGATATTTCTTCCAGGCTTTATTTAATTGATTTTTTCAGTTTATGTCCCTGTAGCTCAGCTGGTAGAGAATGGCATTAGCAACACCAAGGTCATGGGATTGATTCTCAAGGAATACACATACTGATAAAATGGATATCTTGAATACACTAAGGGCCAGATTTACTAACAGCTTGAGCCAGCACAAACCCTCTTTTGGTGTTAAAAAAAACAACTGTCAGGATTTACTAAAGACATTTGACCTTATTGACCTTATTGCATATGCATTTGTAGGTGTTTTACAATTTTTTTAACGCCCAAAAAATGCACATCTTAAACCAGACGCTAATTTGCGCTGCTCTTGGTTTGCGTTGGTCATTATGGAAATGATCCGGCTGAGTCTGTGTTCCTTAATTCGTACGTTGTCAGTACGACTTTCCACTCCCATCAGCACTTTTATGGGATTGCGTTGTTTACTAAATCTGTCCCCAAGTAGCTGAATGTTTCAGAACATATTTAAAACATTGTTTTGAAGTCTGGTTCAAAACTTGCACCAGCAAGAGTGTGTTTATCATTCTAGATTTTCTTAGTATTGTGTTTCCTGCCCTCATCTCTCAAGGGTACTGTGACCATGAGGCACTGTTGTTGTTTTTTCCAGGCCCAGGGTTCATCCTCCCCCTTGGCCCCATCACGGCCACTCAATTCCCACGCTGCCGTCCTGGACTCTTCGGTGGAGCTTCTCTCCGCTCTCAGCCCAGAAGAGAGGGAGCTGCTGGCGGCCGTGACCGAGCAGGGCTACCCCCTCCGTACGGCCATCATCGCCCTCCAGAAGACTGGCCAGCAAAGTCCAGAGCAGGTCAGTGAGGGAGATCTGTTACTGGGCTTCACTGTGAAATGCGAGCTGGGATTCGTTTGGGGCTCAAGATGCAATGCTGAGATTCTCTTCTGAGATTTTCTCCCCTGTGCGTCTCTGGGGAAGGTCAATGAAGTGCATGCTGGGTTGCCAGTAAAGAACATGCGCCAGTTGGACACACCCGACCACAATACTTGAAATTAGTTTTATAGGTAAATATACATTGATCATAGGTTTAAAATGCTTTATAAAACTGATATTTTGATATCATTTAATTTTTTTTTATTGAAATAAATCTGATTTTGATAAATCAGATTTAATCAGATCTGATAAATCTGAAATTGGAAATGTTGCCTTAAATAACTAAAATATAAATGACTAAATAGCAAATAACTAAAATAAAATCAGTTGAAGCACTAAAATTACTAAAAGTGAAATAAAATTAAAGCTAAATATAAATTTTAAAAACCTAAAACTTATCAAAATGACAATGCATCAGAATAAAAGCAATTTAAACATAATAATAAATGCTATAATATTATATAAATAATACTAAACTAACACTACATTGAAATGTATTAATTTAACTGATTAATGAAGAACAACTGAAGTTGGTTTATTCAATGTACGAAGTGTGCAGAGTTTGAAGAAAAAGCTGAAATATAATATTTTTTATTATTATTTTTAATGTATATGTCACTATATCATCCATTTGTGTTATTTCTTAGTTTTGATGACTTTTATATTACTCAAGCATGAGACTTCTTTCAAAAACATTAAAAAAAAATGTACCAACCCAAACTTTTGAATGGTGAAGTATATACCGTGAGATATTCAGTCCATACATATCTCTTACTTAGATGTTTATGGTAGTCGACTTTAAAAAAGCATTTTCAAATACTAAAGCAAATATTTTTGTCACTCACGTCTGAAGCTTTTTTTTTTATTAAATTCAATTATATTAAATTCTATTCTTTATTGAGTTACAAGGTTGAGTTACTGAGTTATTGAGTAACACTACAACAAGGTTCGCAACAAAATTTCTGTGAAGGCATATGTCCTTCCAGGATGAAGAAGGTTTGGAAATCACCTGTTCTGTGATTTTTAATATTCAGATATTCTGTATTGATCTGGACAAACTTATGGAACGTCAGATATTATTGCCAGAGGTTTTACTCACAATCCCTGTGTGCTTCAGTTTCAGCTCTGTGTCACAGCAAAACATCTGGTTCCATCCTCTTTAATCTGATTCTGGTTACGAGGAGGGGAAAAAAGATCAACAAAAATAGACACCAGATCCCCCTGAAGTTTCCACAATGTGCTAGTATCTTCTAGTTCTCAGCATTACAAAGGTTCCCTCAGGAGAACACTTAATCATTAACATGAAGCCAATTTCATTAATGTTGTAGGGCATTGTGGGAAAATTACATTGAAGTTTATTTAAAAGGGGCCATGAGAAAAGACTTACAGTAAATCAGTGTTTGAGGGCTGGACGGTGGCAGAGGAGCTAAATACAACCTGAGAAGTTTGCTGAAGAGACATTAAAAGCTGCTCTGCTCTTTATTGATATATGTAAAATTATATTAAAGGGATAGTTCACCCAAAAATGTAAATTCTGTCATCATTTACTCACACCAAGTTGTTCCAAACCTGTATGAGTTTCTTTCTTCTGTTGATATGATAAGATATTTTGAAGAATGTTGGTAACCAGACAGTTAATGGACCCCATTGACTTCCATAGAATGAAAAATAATAATACTATGGAAGTCAATGGGGTCCATCAACTGTTTTTTTTTTTTTTTTACCGATATTGTTAAAAATATCTTCTACAGAACAACTTGAGGCCAAGGGTGAGTAAAAAAAAATGACAACATTTTCATTTTTAGGTGAACTATTCATTTAAGTGATTAAAGGAATCCAATATTTGTACCATGCAAATTCAATATTTGCATCACATCATGTCTACTAAGAAGCCTTCATTCATTTTTGACTGCATATGATATCTGATTGGTAGATGTCGTAAAAAATAGTATTAGGAATGTATTAATTTGTTGTTGCAATTATTATTATTCTTTTTCTTATTTTTTTAAGTTTAATAATATTAATAATAATAGAAACTTTATAAGTTATTCATATTTATTTATAATAAATGTCAGTTTTTTCAGCTTATGATTCCATTTCAATACTGAAAAAAAATTGGTCTAGGATTAACGTTGAAACAATTGTCACTTGTGAAATTAACTAGCACTTTAAAAGGAACTACAAGTAACACATCGGATTTAACAATGAAATTCTGAAGGGCTGGAATAGTTTTTTCTTGTAAAACTTACTCTAATAATCTTTTTATTTACAACATTAAAAATCAAGATGTACCAAGTATTAAGCATTGCAGTCATTAAATATTTACTTGGCTTTGTCCAAATTTAAACTAACTTGAATTTGTTCTAGATCATTATATTACTTATTGAAAGCCCTCAAAGGATGTGATGATGTGTCTGTGAAGTCATTGACTGACTGGGGAGAGAGACTTGATGAGTTTATATTTGTCAGTATCCTCAGTTGCCCATGACAACATCAGACAGCTGGTGGGACGGATGATCAGATTTTAATCAAACAAGCTCATCTCGTTACACAGATTAATCCTCCATCGCTCTTATCCACACGCTTCTCACGTTTCACACCGCTCTGCTTTCAGTCCACTCTGAACCTAACATAGAATCTTATCATGACTCCGATTCAGCTAATGATAATTCATAAGTCCATATCAATGATGACGTACTGTTGCGTCAACAGTGTGCCTGATAACCCGATCAGTTTATCTAATTACTTAGTGTTACAGGATAAACCAGTCTTCCCCAAAGTCCATTACAACTTGGCCTTGTTTTCATTGTGTCTGAGAATCTCAGAGGGCTTTTCTTCAATCTCGTTCCTATAGTTAAAGTGATCTATGTTACGTTGCTCTCTGATCCTGAACATGAAACGACTGTCCTCTTAAGCCCATAAGAATATATGATGTCCATTCTCTGTTAGTGTTTTTGTGTTCATATACAGTACGAAGGATTTTTGCTTGTTCTCTTGCAGATCTTGAGTTATCTGGTGGCGTGCGATCGGTTGTGTGAACTCGGCCATGATGAAAGTCAGGTTGAAGAAGCTCTCGAGATGTTTCAAAACTGTGAGACCAAGGTATGTATTGAGCCGATTCAACTTTTTGTTCTTCAGAAAGTAAGATTTTGTTTACTTTTTTTCCATCAAAGAAGCATTCAATTGATCAAAAATTACAGTAAAGGCTCTTATGATATTCAAATTTCAAATAAATCCTGAAAAAAAAAAGCAAATCAGCATATTAGAATGATTTCTGAAGGATCATGTGACTGAAAATTCAGATTTTCACAATATTACTGTTCAGACTTCATTCAAAAACATTTTTAAAAAATCTTACCGACCCCATACTTTTGATTGGAACTGTATATTTTAACATATTTTTCCTCTATTTTAGGCTGAGGAGTTCCTTCACCTTCTTGCTCAGTTTAATGAAATGGGCTTCCAGCAGAACGCCATTAAAGAGGTTCTTCTCGTGCATGAGAACCACCGAGAGCGAGCCCTGGAGGAACTCATGACCCGCGTGGCCTGATCCAGTCGATGATATGATGAAGTGAATTATAGCTGTTCACAGAGCTCATATAGCTGTTGCTTATTTATCATATGATGAACTGTGTTTATTCGTTGCGCATTCTAGATGTGTTGAGGCCTTGGGGAGAAGCACAGTTTGACAATCTGCACCAGAGAATGACTCTGTAACAACACATTGTTATAGTGTTTTCCATAGCAGTCAAACTTTTGCTTTATTTATAGAAATGTTAAACAAACATTCTTGGAATTCATCAAATTAATTGACTTTGTGAAATGCATTAGAATTGTTATGCATTGTTATATGTATGGATGTGTGTTTATATATATATACATGCATACAGTCATCGTCAGAATTATTGCCACTCTTGATAAATATATTCAAAGATGGCTGTAAAAATAAATCAATAAATCTGCAAAATATCGAACCTTTCATTGAAGTAAAACAATTGAAAGTGTGGGAAAATCACATTAATGAAATAAATGTTTTTCTCCAAAACACATTTGCCACAATTATTGACACCCGTAGAAATTCTTATGAGTAAAATATCTCTGAAGTATATTCCCATTCATATTTTTAACAAATTTAGCACACCAGGGTGACTAGGAAATTATCCAGCCATGACTTCTTGTTTCACAGGAGTTTAAATATGAGGAAACACAAAGCCCAAATTCCCTTAATCATCCATCACAATGAGTACAACCAAAGAATATAGTTCTGATGTGCATCAAAAGATTGTTGAGCTTCACAAAATAGAAAGTGGATGTAAGAAAATAGCTAAAGAATTGAAAATCCCCATTTTGACCATCAGGGCAAAAATTAAGAAGTTCCAATCAACTAAAGATGTCACGAATCTGCCAGGAAGAGGACGTGTGTCTATATTGCCTTAATGTACGGTGAGGAGGAAAGATTGAGTGGCCAAAGACTCTCCAAGGATCACAGATGGAGAATTGCAGAGATTAGTTGAGTCTTGGGGTCAGAAAGCCTTAAAAATGTATCAAAAATAATCACCACATGTTGTTTGGGAGGTTTTCAAGAAATATCCTCCTCGCTCGTCCAAAAACAAACTCCAGCATATTCAGTTGTCAGACACGACTGGAACTTCAAAAGGGACCGGATTCTATGGTCAGATGATACTTAAAAAGAGCTTTTTGGCAGCAAAGCCACCAGATGTGTTTAGTGCTAACATAAAAAGTACCTCTTGCCCACGGTTAAATATACTGCTGGATCTGTGAAATTTTGGGCCTATTTTTCTGCTGGAGGTCCTGGACTTCTTGTTCAGATATATGGTCTCATGGATTCTAGCAAAACCTGACAGCTTCTGCTAGAAATAATGGGCCGTGGTTGGATCTTCTATCAGGACAATGATCCAAAACAAACATCAAAATCAACACGAAAATGTGTCACTGATGACAAAATAAAGCTTCAGCCGTGACCATCCAGTCCCCTGACTTGAACCCTATAGAAAATGAGTAGGGGGAAAAAACTAAAGAGAAGAATGGATGGCTCTGGAGACGGATGGAGACAACATGGCTCTGGGAATCTGAATGATCTGGAGAGATTCTGTTTAAAGGAATTTCTTTATACAGAAAATGTATATTATATTCTTAAAAATAAATTTTATATTGACCAAGGGTGCCAATCATTTTGACCATGACTGTATACCCCCTGAGATTTTAAGTTAATATTTCAATTTAACAATAGATTTAAATTTTTACGGTTCTTTTAATGTTGGTTAATGGTCAAATGACATGCAGGAAAACAAATAAAAATTTCATCTTTTTGTAAGTGTTTTTATTTATTTATTTACAGTCTAGGACTGCACGATTTGGTCAAAAATATATTGTGATTATTTTGGCATATATTATGAATATGATTTGAACTGCAGTATGCTAAACTCCTAAGAAATCGTCTCAGTGATAGAAATAAGAAAAAAAAGAAATAAAATAATTGTTTTTACATTATTATTTATGCATTTATTTATGCTATAAAACATTAAGGCAAATATACTATTGTAATTAACAATTGTACCTTAAAATAACATGAATATGTGATCATTAAACATGTTAAAATACTAAATTCTTCACTTTCAGGCGTTAAACCCTTGAGCTTTTATTTTGGTGGAAAATTGCAGGGAGACCTTTCAGTCTGTGTTTAGTTACCAATGGTTATTTAAATGATTCCCTACTGATAAAATGCTGAAAACTGTGGGTTTAACTTTACATTTTATGATTTAATTAATGAATAGCTTTTCATCAACTCACGAACCCACGTTAGGGAATCCCTTATGCAATGTATATAAAATATTAAATTTCTTGTGTCAGACAATTATTTAAGTGGTTCAGTGTGTTCAGATTGTTGCTGAGTTCCAACAATGGCATCAGTAACCAGATTACCACTGTAAACAAAAAAATGACAACTCAATATGAAATTTCATTTACATGTTTGGAAGAAAAACCAAATCTAAACAACAATACCCATGCACGTTTCAGAAAAATATTTTGAAATCTGTGTGAGGTCAACACATGCTTTCATCTGTTAGTTTCACTTTGGTATTTGTGAACATTATCGTATGGCAATGTTCCTATAAAATGTTACCTTCAATGTTGAACAGCTGCTGCCAGACACCATGAGTGAATAGCGACGTCCTGCCAAGATCTATACATTCTGTTGTTCGGCTGCCAAAGGTTGGACACAATGTTTTCATTGTGGTAACATGATTAGTTATCAGTGTGTCTTCAGGTTCCCATGTAATGAGTGGAGCTTCTACAATAGTTACGAAAGCATGCAGGAATGTCTGGATGTAATTTGAGTGTTTGAGCAGTCAAAGAGTCTCCACACGGTTACAGTTTTTGAGGTCATAAATGATTGTATGAATAAAGTATCATTTGTGATGATCCTGTTTCTCCTTTGCCTCCCAGCTGATCTTAAACTTTCTCTCACAGTCTTCAAGGTTCTGCACTCTTTCCTTGCGGCCTTGTCTGACCCCGGCGCTTCTGGTATGGATACACCAGGGATGGAGTTTTACAGATGGCTTGTTTGATATAAAAACAGGAAATGTTTCTATATTTTGGTCTTATGGAACCATGGCAACATGCACTTTAATGACCATCAGTCATGTGTAAAACAATGGTGAAGATTAATAGGGCCTGTTTATATCCCATCAATCATATCACATTTGCCTTCGAATGGTTCTGTGTTGTTCTGGCAGTGTGTGAGAAATTAAACGTTACTCACATTCAACACAAATGAAGCATTAGACTAATCGAATGAACTGATTTGATCAACCTTTTATTGAAGGAAAGAGAGGCTTGATGCTACAAACACCCATAGAGGGACTGTAAGGATGTAGTTTGTTTGGTGTGAATTCATATAGAATTTATATGATGTTTTATTAACAAGGTTCAGGAGGAACACGTTCTAATGATCAAATAATCAAATCATTCCAACCAGCTGTCAGCAATCAATAATCAACAGGTCCACTCAATCAGCATCAGTAAGGCCTATAAATATACGCAGTTGACTCACCCATATTTCTCGACAGTTTTCAGCATCCCTCCTCCACCCCATCTCCTCACACTGGCCTGGTTATCTTCCTAACCAGAGATACGGGGGGAGTACTCTGGGTTCGGGCCCAATTTCCGAGCTCGGAGCCCTCCCCCCGTAGCTGGTTAAAACCAGACCATTCTCAGTTGTAACTGAGTTATGGTCTGGCAAAGCGTCATAGACAAATAATTTCCAGAGGGGCGTCACCAACGGACGTCGCGGATAGACCTAAAACCAATCAGAGCGATGAAGGAGATGACGTATGCAGAGCGGCGGAGAAACATCTCAGAGTGTTGTTCTTTGCTCGGTTTTTAACAAAAAGGAAACGTTCAAATCGCTTAAAACAGACGCGATAGCTGATTCGAACGAGTGATGTTCGACGGCGGCATCCATCTTTGTAATGTAGGCTACAAAATCTGATTCAAAATCCCAGCGCTGTCGTCATCGTGTAAAGCCCGCCCCAACGTTTCTGATTGGTGCCTCGATTTCGACGGATTGGAAATGGGCTTGAATGAGCTCTTTGCCAGACTAACTTTCAGAGCAAATCTAAATTTGCCGGAAGTTGTCTGGGTTTTCTCAGGCTACTCCCCCCCGGACAGCACGCCAAATACGCATAACCATTTACTCTCTGGTCATTCGTAAGTGTGAACTCGTGAAACACTGACAACATGACCGCATGTATTTAATCCAAATATGTACACTTCTACTCAAAAGTTTGGGGTCAGTATTTTTTTTTAAAAGAAATTAACTTTATTCAGCAGGGACCCATTAAATTGATCATTAAACACATTTATAATGTTACAAAAGATTTTTCTTTAAAATATTGCTCTTTTGAACTTTCTATTCATCAAAAAATCCAGTAAACTTAATTGTCAACACAAAGTACAGTTGCACTTGTTCCTTTGTATGACAAAAAAAGATGTGAATGAGAACAGCTTTATGGGACATTCGGCAATATATTGTTAAAATACAGCAGCACTGATTAGGAGGGAAAACAGTTGCAAAGTGCCGACAGTTGGTGAATGACATCATCTAGCGACAGCTTTTGCAGCCATTAGCTACTTTCCATTGAAAATAGTTGGCAACATGGGTACAGAAGCACTTGAGCTGAGGTCAGATGAGATCTCAGCTCCATTATTTTTCTTTTGTAAAAGCTCTCTGCTTTTCTTTGGCAGTCTCAAGAGGAAAGTCCACATGGAGCCGATTCTTGGAAACCCTGTCATTTCTTTTTTTGTCCTCCATTTGTTGTCCTCAATGGCATATTCCACTGTCGCTCTGCGATTCACCGTGAACACAGAGTCCCCTCGCACTACCGCGGTAAACAAAGCCCCCTTACTGTTCTCGTACTGCCCGGGCATGGCCGTCCACTGACCTGAGGTCAGATTGTAACAGTCCATCATGCATTTCAAAAAATCATCAGATGGCCCGTTCCTCATGACGTACAAATTGTCCCTGTGGCCCACCATGCAATGACCGTAACTTTGATGCCGAACAAGTGTTGTGATTAATATCCATTCATCCTTGTTGGCTGTGTACTCATAAATCTCAGTAGCATCTTTAGGTCTCCAAAGACATATGAAAAGTCTTCTCATGGCTTTGGCGCAAGCGACGTTGGATGCAGGTCTTGGCAGATTGGCAGCAAAGCTCCAGGTATCCGAAGAGACTTTGTACCTCTCCACAGAGGACATTATGTTCTTTTCATACTCTCCACCAATGACAAAAAGGTCGCCCACATGGCTAACAAGGGTGCAGTTGTAGCGAAGTTGCCGAGGGCTGGAAAATGTGCTCCAAGTGTCAGTAGATACATCATAGCAGAAACCAGACTCCACAACTTTATTGGTAATATCATAGACTCCTCCAACAATGTAGAGCTTGTTGTCTAAAACGGTAACTCCTGCCATGGTGGTGCTGGCGTTGAGAGGCAAATGGGTGAGAACCTTCCAGTCTTTCTCGTCCTCATCAAGATAACAAACAGTCCTCATGAAGTCCTGCAACAGCTTGATGGTTGGCGAATGACTACCAACCATGATGTACGTACTAGGAACAAGAGGCTCTATATATTCAATCAAATCTTCTGGCAAGCCCTTCACATCTTCTTTGAGGTCTTCATAAATGTCTCGAATGAACAAAGCTGCACTCCTGAAGAGCTTCAATAACCCAAAGGTCGCCGCTGTGTGATACATAAGAAGGCAGTTGTCTGAAGTGATAATGTTTATGAGGTGCTCAGTTAGAATCTCTATGTGGAGAAACGCAGTACACTCGATGGCGTCAACAATTTCATCACCGCTCAGCATGGGTCTTTCACTATGTATCACACGGAGGGCGACCAGGAATCCACGCGCGCTCGGCACCTGAAGACAAACCTCATCCTCCTGGCATTCCTTCATGCCAGACTGGAAAAGCGCTCGAAAGTATTCACAATGCTCCTCCAGGAGGCTTCTGTCCACCGTAAAAACACTTTCGGCAAATTTCACTTTCACAGTTTTTTCCATGAAACCCATTGGCTGGTAAACCGTTTTCCTTACGTCGATCTCTGAGCCAGCACAGCTGCCTGTCTCCATCAGGTTACCTCCTCTCATTTTCATCTGAACTCCAGAGAAATGCTCACACAGTCAAACCTGTCTGTGAAGACATTCACAGCACCATTGACTGTCCATGATGTGTTCTAAAGTGACAGTGTTGAAGCAGATGCACTTGATTCGAGTGTGCACTGTTTGTATTACTAACAACTACGAGAATAGAATCAGCTATACATAGAGGTGAAAAGTATGGTAGCATTATGCTGCTTGAAAGCAATGGCAGATAGCCACCGCCGTAGAGGGCAGCCGTCATCATGGTTATTTATTACCTTTTGTTCTTGGCAGGCATGAAAAGCAGGCTGAAAATGTCATCTTCTCCTTTGATGAACAGGTGAACTGCCCAAAGCTGTAACAATGGTATGCCTGTAAGGGTCACTCTTTGTTGTGGGTCGCATTCCAGGTGAACATGTGCTGCTTAAAATAAAATAAAGCTAAGCAGACCTATGGGTAGGGGGATGCTCATTTCAAAACATAAGCTTGCAGATATAGTAGACCAGTTTAATTGCTTTCCTGTGACTCCAAATTATACATCTTTGAGTTGCCTAAGGATCGCTATTTATCTTATTTTTACTGAGCATATATATGGACACAAGCCCAAGCATAGCCTATAATTCTTATAAATATAGCAGCCTACAAATTCAGTGAAAGATATTTCCATCCTTAAAGCAGTTTAAATGCCCTAAAACTCTAAATTGCCATACATTGTGTGTGTTTAACAATGATAATTCCTATTTATTTTTGAAGAATTTTGTGAACCGTAAGAAACAGTGACGTCGAACATCGATCGTGTCTCGTGACCGACTAACAGTCTAGGCCTACATCATGGCAACAGTAGCGAGCACTTTACGTTAACTTCGGACCATTTTTAAAATAACGTTTGACATAACTTATTATATCATTATTTAAACATTACAAATAAGGGTGTTTTATTTTTAAAAGTCTGGGTCGTTGCTACAGGTAGTCAACCTCGACGTCAAAAAAGTTTTCCCTGAAAAAGTATTGAGTAGGCTAGCCTAATTCCCACACTGTTAAAGGGAAGGTAACGTTAACTGATTTATCAAACGCGAATTTTACAATTGCTAGCCTACAGTGTGAGCTTTGAAGATTATTTTTTATGTTCATAGGAGGCGGATTCACTGGATAGATTCATTCCGTCATGTGCTCCAGCCCACCGAACCAAAATATTCCAGCATTATTTATTTCACTGTTCCTTCCCCTCTCCCAACCAACATCCTCTTCGACTGCAAGAGACTTCCAAAGCACAGAGAAAATAAGAAAATACGCTACCAATCTCGGACAAATGTTTAGTTCCGTGTTTGTAGACATGTCGTTTATACTGAAGGCGAGCCAGCTGTTTTGCAGAGAGCGCTGGTGAGAAATCAGACGTCAGCACCATCCAGGTATGAACTCAGAAGATCAGAGCACATGTAGGCTACTGTGTGTCTAATATGGACTGCGTGATTCGGATCTTCTTCGTTCATTCTTCTATCTTATCACTTCGTCAGGATGTCTCTGATGTTTGGGAAAGCAAGAACGTGCAACATTGTCACAGTTCCTGAGCATGAGCCCTCGGAGTGTAACATAGTGATTTTGGGAGCTATGGGATCTGGAAAGTCAGGTATGATTAACATACATTGCAGGGGAATATCTTCGTCATGTTCATAATCACAATCACTAGTTAATGCAAAATAAAGGTGTCTTCAATTTTTAGGGAAGACTTATATAATGTGCCCTGATTGCACTGTAAATCGTTTTGAATTGGTATTTCCCCAGATATATTTTCATATCTGAGTGTAATTGAAATGAATGATCTGTTTTATTTTATTAATGAATGGTTTATAAAAGTATTGTATTTGTTTACCATGGATAGAGATTTAGTTTTAAGACGACAACTGAAACAGCAGAACTTTTCCATCGTCATGTTGGGATGCTCTGTTATGTAATTGAAAATATTTCAAACTTAGACTTACAGGAAGTTTGTCTGTCCCCCCCGCAGCACTTACTGTGAAATTCCTCACAAAGCGCTTCATCAGTGAATATGACCCAAACCTTGGTGAGTTTCACAGCTTTTACTGTTGTCACCAAGGATGTAACCAAATATTGAGGGGATCAAAGATAAAAGTTTAAGAATCGGTCAAATTAGAAAATACTGAGTACAATAATGAGTGATTAAACATCTGGAGGGGACGTGTACCTCTCTACGTCTATAGTGGTTATGGTCCTGGTCTTAACACAACACATATTTGAAAGTGATTTATCAATCAAATAGATAATTTATCTTACTGAAGCATTATTGCTAACTTTAGTTTCATATATAACCAATAGGAACCCAGATGGGTGACTTTAAAACTTAAAAGGGTTTTACTTAGAGACATAAAAGTCCTTGTAAAGCTTCATTCTCTTTTTCATTTTTTTTTTCTCGGAAGAAGATGAAAAGTTGAGGCTTATACTGACAGCTTTAACGTTCAACATTTTAAGACTCGCAGGCTTTGCCAAACCACTTTAAGAATTTCCAACAAGTCCTTTTCCAACACCATTTTGTTTTTTCAAATTTGTCATTTGTTCTATCACATTTACATCTTGTTCAAATTTAATTCTTTCATGAAATCATTATATCAAATAATAAAATTTATAAAATGCATGAATGGATGAAAAGACCTCATCAGGAGAAACTTTAAGACAAAAAACACATTATGCAGCTATCATGTAACTTGAGCTGGTGTGAAATGTTTAATGTTTTAGTGAATTCTTTTGGTTAGTTTCTTTAAAAAAACAAACATTAGCTTCTTTTACACATTACATTTTCAGAAGATACTTACTCTTCTGAAGAAGTTGTGGACCAGCAGCCGGTTATAGTCAAAGTGATGGACACGGCTGATCAGGTAATGATGTCCATTTGTCTCTTTTGAGAATATTCTGCTTTACATAGATTGCCACCTGCTATTTGCATAAGATTGATCTCCTCATAATGCTTGGTGTTTTACTTTCATGTAATGGAAGTTTGTTGCATAACCTTGGCAACTTTACAGTATATGGGAACAAATCTGTCTTTATTTAAATCAGGATGGACCAGTCAACTGTGAGCGCTATTTAAGCTGGGCCAATGCCTTCATCATTGTCTACAGCATTGACAACCGGAATAGCTTTCAGGCCTGCCAACAGTACATAGAGACTGTGACCATTTACTCAAAAGGCCTGCAGCCAGACGCTCCTGTCATTCTTCTAGGCAGCAAAGTGGACATGGAGAGATACAGGTGAATTAAACATCCTTCATGTTAGATTTTTTTCAAACTCATACCCTTGTGTACCCTCATTATTCTCTACATTACTCCACTAATATAGTCGACGAGTGAGTGAATTCTGACACTTAGTGCGCCAGAAGGGCTGCCGCTTTTGCATAGTTTGTGCTTGCTGTTTAATAATCATTTAAAACGTAGCAAACTGGCTGCTCCAGTTGTAATGAAAAGATTTATCTTGAACTCTGTTATGGAAACAAGTTACCTTAATTAAACAATGTAATAATCAATTAAAAGGGAATTTATACCTGTATGATATTATGCTGTACCCACATTGGACCAGCTGTTTGGAAAATGGATGGATGGATGATTCAACTGCGGCGCCATCTTCTGGCGAGACGCGGGAAATCATTCTGCACAACCGTCACAGTGCATTGTACTCTCTAGCCGTTGGTTGCAAATCAGTTGTACACTCGTTATTGCAGTGCATTATGGAATTGAATGAGTGCCAGTGGTTTCGGACACCACTACAAACGGCTGTCCCTTCAAATAGTGCCCTATTTAAGGGTATGGGGGGCGATTTCAGACACAGCCACAATGATTGGTCTTATAGGAGACCTAATGTGCACTTTTTCTTTATTTTATTTTGGGGTCTACTTTTTCAAAAAACACATTATTTTCACATGTTTTACATTGTTTCAGCACCTCTCTTCCCAGTCTTTTGGTAACCCCTTGTTAGTTCCTGTCTATATGCAGTGTTGCCAGATTGGGACGGTGATTTCCAGCCCAAAAGCTCACCAAAACCCGCCCACTACAAGAAAAAACCGCCCAAAATTTTACTGCCAAAATAATGTGATATAATTTCATTACCATGTCATTTAAGGTTGATAAGCACAATTTGTATCTCCTTAAAACAAAATAACGATGATAAAATAAAATAAAAAATAAATAAATTTTCCAGCAAAACAGATCAAAACAGGGCAATAATTAAGGAGAATTAGCCAATATGACTAAAATGTCCAGGTGGACACTGTCAAAACGGCAATCAAGAAATGAACCGATGACTTTAACCCTCAGAAGTACACATTGCAGAACATAACGCAGAATTTAGCAGTCAAACGGATTCATCGTTGATTCAAACCTTTTTCAGCAGCTGTCAGGGACAAGTAGAGTGCAGTCTGGATGGTGTAAAGTTGCAGATGTTTGGTTAGGCTAGTGTGCACATATGACATGGACAGGAATCGTCCCATATTTGATTTCAATTCAAGTCATTCAACTGTGCTCTCCTCTCAGAGTTATATTCACCATAGAGTGATCTCCTTCCACGTGTGCGTTTTTTTAGAGTTGCTCACTACTGTACACTCTTTTGCAGGGGCGTAGAATTTAGTAGGGACGCTAGGGACGTGTCCCTACCAATATCCAGTGACACTGATATATCCCTAGCAATAGTTTCGATCAAAACTTTACATTTATTAAATATTGATGTCCCCGTCCCCACCAATTTCAAAATCAAACCTACGCCACTGCTCTTTTGTATAGTAGGCTATGTCACCCTGCCTTAGCGATCACTTGAATATACAGCTACAACTTCTCGCGCTCAATCGCGTCTGCCTGCAGATCGCTGATTGGCTAAAAGTGCGTGCTCGTCGGTGATGTCAACACTAACGCCAGCTGACTCTGCATGAGCAGGTGTGTGTACAGTAATTTCATGATGACTGATTTTATGGACTACATGCACTTTAGTTTCGTTTTTTTTTAACCAATAAGATTTTAAAATGTAGATGTTTGAAAACCGCCGAAATGATCCCAAACCAGCCCAAATTTTGACCACCCGCCCAAACCCTTTTTAACCCGCCCAAAAGCGCAATGTGCTCTGATTGGTCGGCTGGAGCAGTATGTTGTAAGTGATTGGTCAATCGCTTTGAACATGTTTCGGAAATGTCTCCTACCCTCAATTTTCAACACACCACTAATGCAACTCAGCCAGGCATCTGCCTCTTTTTTGCGTGTATCTTGGGCGGGAATTATGTAAACTAGGAATGTTTTGACGTGTACATTTCGGAAGAAAACTGAAGACTACAATGGAGGCGTTTCAGGGAGTTCAGAAACAGTGCTTACTGATATATAGAATAACTCCCTTTTGAGTGACTTTGTGTTTTGTAACTTTGCAGACCTTTTTCATGCTCAAACAGCAACATACACTCTATTGAAAGTTGAAAATGTAAATTGACCCCTTTAAGCACAAATCTTAAACAGCCAAATTTCCTGTGTCCGAGTGGGTGTTAGTCAAAACAGTAACCAAACATAGTAAAATAGTGCATTTACATATTTGTATGAATGTCCTTTTGTTAGTTTAACTGGAAGAACATATGACCTGTGACTAGCTAAATTACAGCAATTATGCCCTGTACTACCGCAAGTTATTTAGATTTCAATCTTTCATGATCCTAAAATGTTTAAGTAAGGATTTGATTGGTCCAGGAAACGACCATTTATTGCCTTTTTATTTTCCTTTCATTATGCAAACACAGTGCATAAAATGACCATATAACAGCTGGATTCAATCAAATCTATCTATTTATGTAACTACAGTTTTATGTGTGCTTCTTTGCCAGCCATGCTTTAAATAAATGTTTTAACTGCTCATCCCCAGTTTTTTCTGTTGTGCCATTCCTGTTACCATAGAGACTTTCCTTAACCCTTTATTGCACAATTTTACCTTAGGGTGCAGTTATCATTAACACTTTTTATTTAGATTTTAGATCTTTATTCCTGTGACGAAAAGCAAAGCAACGTTTTCAACATCATTACTCTCCAGTCTTCAGTGTCACATGATCCTTCAGAAATCATTATACACTCTAAAAAATGCTGGGTTGTTTCAACCCAAATGTGGGTCAAATATGGACAAACCCAAATGTTGGGTTAAAAATGTAATTAAAAAATTTACAGTTGAAAGTGAAAGTTGGGTTAAAATTTTGAATTACATTTTTTTTAACCCAACATTTGGGTTTGTCCATATTTGACCCAAATTTGGGTTAAAACAACCCAGCATTGTTTAGAGTGTAATATGATGATTTGCTGCTCAAGAAATATTTCTTAGTATTATTATCAATGTTGAAAACAGTTGTGCTGCTAGATATTTTTGTGGAAACTGATTTTTTTTTAGTATACTTTGATGAATAGAAAGTTTAAAACAACAGCATTTATTTGAAATGGAAATTGTAACGTTATGTCTTAGGTGTCGATTTTCATCAATTTAATGCGTTGTTGCTAAATATACTGTAAGTATTTATTTATATAAAAAAAATCATACTGACTCCAAACTTTTGAGCAGTAGTTGTGTAAATAAAAGAAAATCTATTTAATTCATCTGTTATTTAAATAAAAAATGTCTTATAAATTTAATTGCATTGTTCTTTTACATGTATTTATTATATTATTAGCCGATTTTATTGACTCATTTAACTACACTAATTATTATTTACAATAATTTAATACATTTTTAATACATTTACTTTCATTGTTACACATCAGGATTCATGAAAAGGATCCTATATATATTATAATTCAGAATTTATTTTTGATTTTAGTAAGAGGTCCATTTTACGTAAGAAAAGTCGGTAGGCCTACTTTATTTTACAGTGTCCTTGTTACATATGTTACATGTACTTACCATAGTAATAACAGTAAATTATGCATAATTATATGCAACTAACCCTCAACCAAATCCTAATCACCTTAAAATAAAGTGTAACCGAAAAGTCAATCAAATGATTTCATAATGCATGCATTTAAGAGTCAAACATTTGTGCAATAATCTCTCTCCCTTTCTCAGACAGGTGAGCAAGGCAGACGGTGCAGCCCTGGCCTCGCGGTTCGGCTGCCGGTTCTTTGAAGTTTCCGCCTGCTTGGACTTCCTTTCCGTTCAGCACATCTTTCACGAAGTCGTTCGGGAAGTGAGGCGAGAGACAGATAGGAGTATCCGTCCGCTCTTCATCAGCGAAGACAAGTCCGCGATAAGCCTGTCCTCTGCTCCTCCCCTCACCGCCTGCTATAAAGAGCTGCCCACTCCAGCCACCGCAAAGCTGGTTACGGTAAAGTCCTCCAGAGCTCAAAGCAAACGCAGAGCCCCCACGCTTACACTGCTCAAGGGCTTTAAGATCTTCTGATGTGATGCTGCCCTCTTCTGATACTGGAGAGGATCTACTAGAGAGACCGCTTGTCTTGATGTTATATAACAGGACCTGAAGGAGAACAACGTCTCTCACATACTTGAGAATGCAGTAACTGTATGAGAATGGACAATGTATTAAATATAGCCTATCAGAGCTCCACTTAAAGGGTTAGTTCACCCAAAAATGAAAATTGGCATTAATGACTCACCCGCATGTCGTCCCAAGCCCGTAAGACCTCCGTTCATCTTCGGAACAAAGTTTAAGATATTTTAGATTTACCCTGAGAGCTTTCTGTCCCTCCATTGAAAATGTACGGTATACTGTCCTTGTCCAGAAAGGAAATAAAGACATCATCGAAGTAGTCCATGTGACACCAGTGGGTTAGTTAGAATGTTTTGAAGCATCGAAAATACATTTTGGTCCAAAAAGAACAAAAACTACGACTTTATTCAGCATTGTATTCTCTTCTAGTTCTGTTGTTCTGTTTTTGGGTGAACTAACCCTTTAATGTCTTTGTTAGCACTTCTGATGTTTCTGTTATAATTTAGTTGTTGTTTTTTTGCACCACTATTATACTTGCATTTTATTGTGATAAAAACAATTTCCACTTGAATTTTCAAGGATTCATGGGGACATTTGTTTGTTTATTTTTTTACACAGCAGAACATAAAACCTAATTATGCACAGAATTCCAAAGAAAGTATCAGGAAATAAACACATTTATCTGTGATTGTTTTTGTTAAACTGACATTTTTTTAAATATTGATTAAACCCATTATAATTACCAAGTTTATTATGTTGCTTCTCATCAAGTGAGATAGAAGAGAATAACTTACTATGCTTTGTATGGGCTGCAAAGAAAATATGCAGATTAAATATTTGATTTAATTCATATAGGCTAATAGAAGTTTGTATGGTACACTATTATGCGTTTGGGGGGAAAAAACCTGTAATTTTCAAGTTTCAGCTCATGACCAATTCTGATGCATTTTCACACAAATAGTTTTTTTTTTTTTGTACAAATAGTACAACTTGCCTTTTGAAATATACACTAAACTGAATATATGTGTGATTATATTGACACTGATTGCTTGACCCAAGGCTATAAGCATATATTTTGGACTAGGGAAACCATGGGTAATACGCAAACAACAGGACTATATTAAAACACAATAGCCTCAGATGAAGCTATCACTTGGGGGGAGTTTTGGGACAGAGTCTCCTCATCTGTGTTGTGGACGTCCTGTTCACCTTCCCCCTCCGATTCCGGTTCAGGATACAAAGTAGACACGTTCCCGTCCTTCCAGGTCACCACAATTTCTCCAGGCTTCATTTCCTCTGAGGCTTTGCTGTTGGTTGAAGGCTCTTCCCAATCTTTATGGCTGTTGTGTGTTGTGATGTGTTCGGATGAGATGGAAAGGCTTTTCTCCTCTTTGACCTGTGTAACCTGATCAGTGACGATGACCTGCAACCCCTCCATTTCAGGGTTCAACTCTGTCAATTTTGTGGCTGCTTTGTACTTGGCTATTTGCTTCCTGTTCCTGTATGGGAGACATGGAAGTTATGGAAGAATATTACATATATATATACTGTATATGTATGTACTGTATGTATATAAACACACACACACACACACACACACACATATATATATATATATATATATACATACATACATATATTATGTGGAAATAATTATATGTAAATTAAATATGTAAATCTGAATATACATATAGTTATAAGCCTGAATATATAAATGTAAATCTGAATATATAAATGTAAAGCTTGAATATATAGGTATAACTGAATATTTAAATGTAAATCTGAATATATATATATAATTATAACTGAATATATATTTATAAATTCTGAATATATAGTTACAACTCTGAATATATAAATGTAAATCTGAATACATAGTTATAACTCTGAATATATAAATGTAAATCTGAATACATAGTTATAACTCTGAATATATAAATGTAAATCCGATAATATAGTCAAAACTCTAAATATATAGTTATAACTCTGAATATATAAATGTAAATCTGAATACATAGTTATAACTGAATATATATTTTTAAATCCTGAATATATAGTTATAACTTACTATATAAATGTAAATCCGATTATAGTTATAACTGAATATGTGTATGTATATATATATATATATATATATATATTCAAAGTTATAACTATATATATATGAATATAAATATATATATATTCAGATATAATAGATATTGTTTTGGCCAAGGGGAGATCAGAGACAGACCAACCCCCAACCCCCCCCCCCCCCCCCCCCCCTTTTTCCCCCTTTTTTCCCCCTTTATTCCTTTATTTATTTATTTTTTAATTATTATTATTATTTAGTTAATTTTTATCATGTCTGTTGTACCTGTAAGATTTTCTCCTGTTAAGTTATTTCCACTTACACACCCAGTAATACATGCACACACACACACACACACACACACACACACACACACACACACACACACACACACACACGTTTATGTATGTTATTTTCATTTTTACATGTTAATGTTTATGTATGAGACCTTTATGTTTTTTGTTGTGTCAGTCACTTGTATGCATTGGATTACATAATAAAAATAAATAAAAAATGATATATATTCAGATATAACTATATACGAATTTATATATGCAGATGTACATTTATATTCAGGCTTATATATAACTATATATTCAGATTTGTATCTATATATTCAGATTTACATATTTAATTATTTCCTGTTTGCCCCCACACACACACCGTATATACATACATATATATTCTAAAGACGTCCTGTGCTCAAATAATTTGGTTACTATAAAACTCCTGTTTGTTACCTGTGTTCACAATGCTAGTTTGTACTAACCTATTAGCCATCATGCCCATGACCAACAGCATAGCACCAATCAGAAGACCCAGAAAAGCAAATCCCATCATGCCAAACTTCCATGATGCTGCTGTTAAACAAGAAAAGGGCGTTGGACAGTCTGTGAGTATTAATGTGATAGAGCCACATCCAAGTGTGCACTTAAGCCATTTCATGGATGGGGAAATTAAATTCTGTAAACGTGAGAAACTAGAAAGACTTTAAGTGCAAGCTTGGCACACTCACGGTCCTCTGTGCGGTAATACCACTGTAAAAACTTCATCTGTGCCTCTGTCATTCCCTGTGCAGGCGGCCCTTCAGCAAAGTCAAACTCGTCGTCGGCCTCTAAATCACTGTCTCTTCTGGATCCTGTGAGAATGAGTGAAGATGAGATTTATCTTATAGCATGAGACCATAAAGAGTCGGAGCGAGGAAGGTCAGTGGAGTTTCTTTTCATATTCTAAAATGTGGCAGAAATCGCTTTACACTCTTGTGATTGTGAACCCAGAAATTGTGACATTATTGTCAAGCACATTCCCTCTATAATTCACATTACTATAATGCAATAATAAACACAGTACTGGTCAGAATTATTTGCCCCCTTGGTAAATATGATGAAATATGGCAGTAAAAAAATAATCTGCATTGTTTATCCTTTTGATATTTTATTTTTTAAAAATGCAAAAAACTAACCTTTTATTGAAGTAAAAGAATTGAAAAAGTGGGGGGAAAATCACATTAAGAAATAAATGTTTTTCTCCAAAACACGTTGGGAACAATTATTTGCCCCCTTTTATTAAATACTTTTTGCAATCTCCTTTTGCCAAGATAACAGCTCTGAGTTTTGTCCTATAATGCCGGATGAGTTTGGAGAACGCCTGACAACAGATCAGAGACCATTCCTCCATACAGACTCTCTCCAGATCCTTCAGATTCCCAGATCCATGTTGGCGCTTCTTCTCTTCAGTTCAGCCCACTCATTTTCTATGGGGTTCAGGATGGCCATTACAGATGCTTGGTTTTGTGCTCAGTGACCCATTTTTGTTTTGATTTTGATGTTTGTTTTTGGATCACTGTCCTGTTGGAAGATCCAAACATGGCCCGTTATAAGATTTCTAACACATGCTGTCAGGTTTTGATTTTTTATCTGTTGGTATTTGATCGAATCCATGATGCCATGTACTGTATCTGATACCACGTATCATGATGCCTCTGTATAAGTACAGAGGTGGTGGTGCAAGCTCTTAAAAAGACCAAAGTTAAATCTGCACCTGGGCCGGATGCTATCTGTGGCCGAACCTTAAAATTAAACCTTAAGACTGAAGAGATGGTAGTAACCTTTTCTAATAAGCAGAGGCAGATGGCTATGGCAGTCTCTACTGTTACTCACGGAAAGCCTGGAGAGATTGTCAAAGAGTACAAGTACCTAGGGACAATTTTTGACAATCTGCTAAAATGTACTTATTGAGATATTGAGGAAATGCCAGCAGCCACAGTACTTTTTAAGGAAGCTCTATTCCTTTGGAGTTAGTAAGAACATTCTCACTATGATCTACTACTCCTACATTGAAAGTGTCATTACATTCTCCATCGTCTGCTGGTTTCATTCTATTAGCCTCCAAAATAGAAAAAGTCTGGAGCACTCGGTTAAAGTCTGCTTGACTATTATTGGACTGGGCTCTTTCTATTATAAGTGAACAGCAAACGCTGAGGTTGGCTGGAAGGATTTTACGAGACACTTCACATGTCATGTTCTCTGTTTTTGAGTGGCTTCCTTCAGGGCGACGGCTTCGTTGTCCATGCTGTAGGACGCAAAGGAGGAAGGCAACCTTTGTTCCAAAATCGGTGCAGCTTTTAATTTCTCAACCATCTCTGTCCCCCTTTTTTACCATACCATTTTTTTTACACAGTTATATCATATATATTTACGTATTTATTAATTCTTATATATGGTACGGACTTGTGGGTTTAAAAACAAAACAAAAACAAAAACAACTTTTTTTAGGTATACTTATAAATAATATGTATTCCGCGCACATTGTGTTATTTATTTAATGTAGGATGTTTTTATGTGTATTGTTTACGTGAGTCCTCGTTAATTGCCCCTTGGGGACAAATAAAGTGTTTTGTAATTGAAATCGAACAAGATATCCAGGACCTCCAGGATACAGCATTTTACACATGGGGTACTTTTTTATCCCTGTGTGCACAAAACCCATCTTAAGTGTTTGCTGCCAAAAAGCTCTTTTTTTCGTTTCATCTGTCCATGACACTGAAGACTATACAGTAATGATGCTGAAAAATTATTAACAAATTCTTAATATATTATATATATATTCATATTTTTGATCAAATAAATGTAGATTTGGGAGTGTATGTCTGTCAACCAGATAAAATGAACGCGACAATGTAGACACACAATTCAAACAAAGAATCAAATAATTCAGATGTTTTTTCGGCTTCTACTCACTCAGTTTGTTCTGGCAGATATCAGCCGCATCCAGAGACTTCCAGATGTTGTGTTCACCCCTGTTGAGTTTGAGATTTCCTCTCTCTGAGCTCAACGCCAGGGCATTTTTCAGGCTGATGAGCTGTTGAGCTTTGCACTGCCATTTGATATGTTGACCAGAATCACAGCTGATAGTCTGGACTGGGTCGCTGTGGATGGAAGAAAGACACCTCAGGGTGCCTGTGTTTATTAGGACCCAGTGATCGGTCCACATCCACTGCTGCAGGACTGAGTCCAGACGGCATGTCTTTAACTCAACTCCTCCTTCAGTTGAGTCCTCCAGACACAGGTCTTCCTTAATGTTGTGGATCGTGAAGCTGAATGTGCCTTGAAAAAAAGATTATATCGGTTAGACATTGTGATTAAATCATACAAATCATACTTTTATATCTGGAAAAAGAGAATGAATGGGAATTTTGTGTTGCACATGATAGAAAACTATTCAAACAATAATATATTATTATAGTGAGATTTTATCGTCTGTAGTTCACCCTGAATCTCACAAAACTATGTAAGGTCACATTTCACCCAAATATTAAAAGAGTGAAATTAGAAAAAATATTTTGCATTAAGTAAACAAAGCCTATTTTCAGGGGTAGCTTTGAGAGGAGCTCTGCATTACAAATTTTTCCAACGAGTTGGAAAGCGCGCAATCTCTGTTTTTAATGTCATATTGCACATGTCGAGCAAGCAGAGGTAAACAGTAAAGCGAATCTAGCGCTGGCAAATCTGATTTATTCTACTGAATCGATTCGTCCTAAACGGTCCTCTCTCTCATATTGCTTTGGAAAGTCTGATTTATAGTGAATCGCTTTGTTCGGAAGGTTCATGATGAACAGATTCACTGATTCACTGTTTTTAATTAAGTATTCCAGTTAAATATTCTAGCAGTTAAAAAAAAAAAAAAAACATTTAAAAGCGTAAAAGCGTGTGTGTAAGTGAGTGACTGACTGACTGACTGAGTGGTGAGTGAGTGAGCGAGCGAGTGTGAGAGTGTGAGTGAGTGAGTAAGGAAGTATGTGTATGTGTGAGTGAGTGAGCGAGTCTGTGTGTGTGTGTGGGGGTGTGTGTGTGTACACAAAAATTAGAGGTCCACCCTATTTCACCAAGGTCCACTCACCCACTCAGATTTCTGGCCTCGCCACAGCCCTGCTCATTTGTTAACTTTAGTTAATGCATTGGCTATCATAAAGTATTATACTTGTGTTAATGTTAGTTAATAAAAAAAAGTTCATGTTCATGTTAGTTCATAGTGCATTAACTAATCAGATACAACTTTTGAATTTGAAAATGAATTAGTAAATGTTGAGATTAGCTTTATCTAAGATTAAGAAATGCTAGAAGTATTGTTTGTTGTTGGTTCATGTTAATGTAGTTACCTAATGTTAACAAATGAAACCTTGTTGTTAAGTGTTACAATATATTTTCTTTTTTTTGTTATTTTAGAGTGGGCTGCATTTCTCAAAAGTGGACATATTTCTGACAGGATTTGTAAGATTCAGGATATTTTCTGAGGTTAAGAGTGCTATACCAGGCCATGTGAGTAATAACGCTATCCACAGCAACAGCAGCATCGCTCCTGGAATACTGAGTCTGCTTAAACACAAAACACAATGCAGAGGTCCAAAGTTAAAGGACATGTGTTAATACTTCCAAACATATTCAAAAACAACATATCAAGTTTCGTGAGAATTCCTCCCCCCACATACACACACAATATCTGAAAGATGGCATTGTGCAATATTTTAAACTTTCCTAATGAGAGAATGAGATATCATGCCTTGACAAAAAACAGATGTCGAACCACACCTCAATGTTTAAATATTTCCTTTCTGCTGTTTATTTATTTATTACTGTAAAATCCTTAAATCATATTTTCATAATTTCACCTTAATTAAGATAGATAAGGTTGCAATTATAAAAAAAAATAATTTAAAAAAGTACATTTTTGTGTCTATACTTTGTAGTTTTATGCATTTGTTTACAGAAAATCAATTAAAAGTCATAATGTTAAATATGTACAATATTATATTACCTATTAACTGTCACCCCCTTTTTTGAGCATAGATCTGAACGTAAATGGTTGTAATTCACGAATGCTTTGGAATACAAGATGGTCTCTTTTTTGAGAAGACACTCAGATTATTGCAGAAGTACTTCAAAAAATGAAGTGTAAAAAAGTTTTCTTTTAAAGCAACTGTACTAAATGATTTTTTATTTTATTTTATGCAAAATGTATATTTTACTAAATAATTTGGACTCTAAAATTGAGACAATCAAAGCTATATGTCTTACCAAGTTGTGTTCTCAATTTGAAGTTTATATCACAAAAATTGAGCCCGCTAAAAGGTTTAGTGCCCAATTTAAAAATGGTTTTCACAGGATGAATGCTGAGTATGAATGCTTTTGAATCATAACTAATTTAAGATGTTTACTGTTATGTTATAGGAAAAAATGCAATTGCTACTGGGACACTGACAGTTAACAAGCTATAATGAGCATTAATGTAACAAAAATGACGAGATGCATTACAATAGTGATTCTTATCAGCAATTTTATCAAGACATGAATAACCCAATGGCTTACTTAGATCAGAGCTTCTGTAAGATCTTTACATATTAATGGGGACGTGTATAAATTCAACTCACCTGAAGTGCACAGCTCCAGAGGCAGACGTGGGACAGAACAGAAAGAATAACTATGCACATCTTGGGAACGCTTTACTACGGCAGAGAGTTTCCAAAGTTCAAATGGGAGGAGATACACTCATGTAATTCCTCTCCATTTTATAGTGCAGTTAGTTAGATTTATGAACTCAGAGGTGAAAGTTTTAGATGACGATGACTTGGGAGTTAGTTAGCATGCAAATATTCTTTACATAATTAGGCGAAGCTGAAGTTATTGTGTGTATGTACATTTAGTTTATCGTTTCTTTTGTACAAATCTTGGTCTGAAATAGGACATGTTTATGTAGGCTACATCCAGGAAATACAGTAGGCTATTAGAACTAGGCTATCTTGAGATAAATACAGGCAATAAATGAATTAACCAAAGTAAAAGTCATTCTAGACGCTGTTTTGGTTGCGTTCTGTAAGGCCATTGTGTACCAGGGTTTTCTCTCAGTGTTTGTATAGCCTTGCTCCAGCCTTGCCATGTTAGTACAGCAGAATACAGATGAGAGGGATGCAGTCTTTGACTCGTCGGTCATGCTTCTGTCACATGTCTCTGTGTTTGCTAGTGTAGACAGAGAGGTGGGTTTTATATCTGTATAGCAAATGATTGGAGCCGCTCAGGGTGAATGAACTAGGTGTCACTTTCATTGTTGCAGAGGTGAAGCGATAAACGCCATTCGTTACAGTATATCTTTATATGTTTTCCTTCTAGGTCCAAAATTTTTTTGTCTTGAGCTCATAATGTAATAACGATTTTGCAATGTAATAATGATTTTTCACATAATGAAATAGGTTATTGTGTGAGAAATGTATTACATCATGAACAAGCAACTTATAACGTAATCACAGTTCATAGCCTATACCAGCAGCACGTAGCCTAAGTGAAACAATGTCTACAATATAATCAATACAATATTATCTTTCAATCTAATAAATTTGAGCACAAAATGTAATAATAGATTTATGTAAAATAGTCTATTACATTAAGAGTAATGTATTGTAGCCTAATTAAGCTACGTTAAATTTGTTTTGATTTTGACATGCTCCATTATTTTGAGTCACTTTAACCCAGAAATACCTTTTAAGATTTATAAATAAAATCTTTCTTTCTTTCTTTCTTTCTTTCTTTCTTTCTTTCTTTCTTTCTTTCTTTCTTTCTTTCTTTCTTCTGTAACTTGTATTAAAGTGAAGAATTGTTTGCTTAACTTTTGCTCCGTGCTGCCATTGGCTGAATCAGGTAACGTGATCTAACACACACACACACACACACACACACACACACACAGGCCCTGTCCCAAACGGGACCCTAAGCACTCGCGGTCTTCCTACGAGTCCGCTTTCTTGACGTAACGCCGCTTTGACTATCGGGAAGTCTGCTGTAGATTTCAGTGCAGTCTCTGCAAAAGCTCGCGAGCACCCTTCTGAAACCTAAAATGACAAATAGGATAGGCCTACCTACGGTCTCATGGACTTAACGGACGCAAGACTCAAAGACAAAGTGGATATGAAGTGTTCCATTTGGGACAGGGCCAGGGGCGTTGCTAGACATTAAGCTCTACTGGGGCACAGGCCCCCCATTGTTTGTCTGAGATAGCAAGCGTAACTAAGGAGGGCGGGGCTTACCGATAGATAAATTAAATTTGTTTGTTTCAAAAACACCATGCTGGGTATAGAGTCACTTAGGGGGGTTCGGGGGCATGCTCCCCCGAGAAAATTTGGATTTCTCGGACCTACATATGTGCATTTTAAGGTGTTTGAATGCCAACAAATTGGATAACAATAGCTTTAAAATCATGTTACACGAATTTCTTTTTTTTTTGTGCCATAAAAGGCAACACTGTATGAAAATAGAAAACTTTAGAAAATAGAAAACGGAGAGAAAACGTTCTTGCACATTTGCATTCTTCTACATTGCACAATGTTAATAATGAATAATTAGCCTTTATATTTTTCAAGAATTTACAATTAGATCATTTCAATAAATCAATAAAGAGTTAATATATACTATATAAAATAAAGAGCATGTATATTCTAAAAGAAAACAAAGTTCCCCAGCCAAGTCCAAACTAAGTTGATTTATTTGTTGAGCATTAAACTGTAGGCTATACCGCCTATGCTTCATTTTGGCAAAACGGTCAATCACTTGACTCTGACTCAATTTTACTTTTAAGATTATTTGTATTATTTAGAAACTTTTGTTTCGTCATGTTTTCATAGCCTACCTCGCGTGCCAACACCGGACTTCGGTGTGCTCAGATGTGTGCGCGCTGCTGTTGCTAGGAATGTCACATGTCTGTCCTGTCTTGGTTATGCACTTGAGTGTTTTGTTATGTTGGGCCATGTGCTCTTGTTATTGTCTGGTCCCTCCCCCTTGTTATCTGATTATTGGTTTATTTGTCCCACCTGTTATCCTCGTTACCCACCTTATTTGCCTTCCTTTTTAAGTCTCCTCTTGTTTGCTGTCTTTGTCGGATCTTTGTCTTTTGTCACCCCGGTTTCCCTGTGATGGTCGTCATGTTCTTAGTCAGTATTGGTTCTCCTAGTTCAGTGTTGTTTTATGTTTCATTTATTGTGTTTTCCCCTTTGTGGGTTTTTGCTTTGTGTTTTGTTTTATTTAGTTAATAAATCATCCCTTCACTGCACTTGAGTCCTCCTCTCCACTTTTGTAAATTGTATCGTGACAGAAAGATCCGACCACTTGAGGACTCAGCAGAATGGAGGATGAGGAGTTTGACTGGGCGAATCTGGATGACAATTATATGGATGACGATTACTTGGATTGCCCGGATTACACCATCGCCACATTTGGGTCAACCCAATTTTCGTCCACCTATGGTGACAGAAGGACTCCGCCTAACCCTGGGTCCAGCGGGGGGTTTTCGAGATTCTCTTCCCCAGCCACGGAGCAGGAGAGGAGAGATTTTCGGGGGACTCGCCTGATCATTTTTCGAGGGACCCGGGGAGGTTGTAAGGGAGGACGAGAGGGTCGAGAAGTGGTTCAACACCACGCTCCATCCGGGGCCCTCTTTGATTCCGGGCCATTGAGGGACAGCTCAGGACTTACTTCTCGCCGTCACGGACGGAGGAGGAGGAAATGCCCGTCTGCCCAACGAGAGACTGTTCACGTCCCGTCTGCCCAGCGAGAGACTAATCACATTCTGTCTGTTCCAGAGGCGGAGCCAGTGCCTGTTCCTGTTCCTGAGCCGGAGGCGGAGCCAGTGCCTGTTCCTGTTCCTGTTCCTGAGCCGGAGGCGGAGCCAGTGCCTGTTCCTGAGCCGGAGGCAGAGGCAGAGGCAGAGGCAGAGGCAGAGGCAGAGGCAGAGGCAGAGGCAGAGGCAGAGGCAGAGGCAGAGGCAGAGGCAGAGGCAGAGGCAGAGGCAGAGGCAGAGCCAGAGCCAGAGCCTGTTCCTGAGCCAGAGGCAGTGCCTGTTCCTGAGCCCATGTCGGTTCCGGACCCAGTGTTTGTGTCTGTGATTGTGTCTGTCCTTGTGACTGTTTCTGTCCTAGTGTCTGTTCCTGAGCCAATGCCTGTTCCAGAGGCAGAGCCAATTCCGGTTCCTGAGCCGGTGTCTGTCCCTGAGCCGGTGTCTGTCCCTGAGCCGGTGTCTGTCCCTGAGCCGGTGTCTGTCCCTGAGCCGGTGTCTGTCCCTGAGCCGGTGTCTGTCCCTGAGCCGGTGTCTGTCCCTGAGCCGGTGTCTGTCCCTGAGCCGGTGTCTGTCCCTGAGCCGGTGTCTGTCCCTGAGCCGGTGTCTGTCCCTGAGCCGGTGTCTGTCCCTGAGCCGGTGTCTGTCCCTGAGCCGGTGTCGGGTACTGAGAGGGCTTCACCGCCCTGGCCAACAGAGGGGCCTGCTCCGCCCTGGCCGCCCGAGACGTCTTCACCGCCCTGGCCGCCCGAGACGTCTTCACCGCCCTGGCCGCCCGAGACGTCTTCACCGCCCTGGCCGCCCGAGACGTCTTCACCGCCCTGGCCGCCCGAGACGTCTTCACCGCCCTGGCCGCCCGAGACGTCTTCACCGCCCTGGCCGCCCGAGACGTCTTCACCGCCCTGGCCGCCCGAGACGTCTTCACCGCCCTGGCCGCCCGAGACGTCTTCACCGCCCTGGCCTCCCGAGACGTCTTCACCGCCCTGGCCTCCCGAGACGTCTTCACCGCCCTGGCCTCCCGAGACGTCTTCACCGCCCTGGCCGCCCGAGGGGTCTTCACCGCCCTGGCCGCCCGAGGGGTCTTCACCGCCCTGGCCGCCCGAGGGGTCTTCACCGCCCTGGCCGCCCGAGGGGTCTTCACCGCCCTGGCCGCCCGAGGGGTCTTCACCGCCCTGGCCGCCCGAGGGGTCTTCACCGCCCTGGCCGCCCGAGGGGTCTTCACCGCCCTGGCCGCCCGAGGGGTCTTCACCGCCCTGGCCGCCCGAGGGGTCTTCACCGCCCTGGCCGCCCGAGGGGTCTTCACCGCCCTGGCCGCCCGAGGGGTCTTCACCGCCCTGGCCGCCAGATGGACTCTTCACCGCCCTGGCCGCCAGATGGACTCTGTGTTTCGCCCTGGCCGTCGATGGACTCTCTGTTTTGCCCTGGTCTGTCAGTCCCGCCCTGGTCTGTCCCTCCCGTCCCGCCCTGGTCTGTCCCTCCCGTCCCGCCCTGGTCTTTCCCTCCCGTCCCGCCCTGGTCTGTCCCTCCCGTCCCTCCCTGGTCTGTCCCTCCCGTCCCGCCCTGGTGTTTCCCTCCCGTCCCTCCCTGGTCTGTCCCTCCCGTCCCGCCCTGGTCTGTCCCTCCCGTCCCGCCCTGGTGTTTCCTTCCGCTCCCGCCCCGGTTTTATGGAGCGTCTGGTAGCCGCTCCATAGGGAGGGGGTAGTGTCACATGTCTGTCCTGTCTTGGTTATGCACTTGAGTGTTTTGTTATGTTGGGCCATGTGCTCTTGTTATTGTCTGGTCCCTCCCCCTTGTTATCTCATTATTGGTTTATTTGTCCCACCTGTTATCCTCGTTACCCACCTTATTTGCCTTCCTTTTTAAGTCTCCTCTTGTTTGCTGTCTTTGTCGGATCTTTGTCTTTTGTCACCCCGGTTTCCCTGTGATGGTCGTCATGTTCTTAGTCAG